CGGTAGCTTTGGTATTCGTTTGGAAACTCACATCATGGTGAAGAATTATACATTACCAAACAATTATGCAAATTCAACTGCTCAATTTCTTCATTTTGAGCCATTTACATTTGTTCCGTTCGATGGCAATCTAATTGTGTGTGAGATGTTAACTAAAACTCAATTAATTTGGCTGAATCGCTACCACCAAGAGGTTCGACGCGTACTCGAAACGACTGGTCAATTGAACTCAGAAGAACTAAACTATTTAAAGGAAACAACACAATACATCAGCTGCTAATTGAAACTTCTTTAGACTTGAAAACGATCTATTTTGATGGTACATGAACTAGTTGAAGTGTGCTCTCAATGATTTTTACCGATATTCACACTCTGTATTGCTTCTTATGTTATATTTTCCATCCAATTAGTGTAGTATTCACCGAATACGCAAAGTACAACCATATAGTCTCTCAGAATGTCCAATGCCTTTTTACATAGCATGAGTGCCTCTCTATAGTTATCTTGGATAAATTCCAATAATCCGAGTCGATGATAAATACGCCCTTGTTCAATCTTATTCGTCGTTGGAGAAAGTAGAAGTTCATAAACGCGTTGAGTCTGGTCGACTTCACCCATTTTCAATAGTAATGCCCTTAGTCAATACCATCTTTCCTCTTCCAGATAATTTTTCTGTCGAATGTGAACTGTAAGTGAACGAAGATCTGCTTATTTGTCAGTAGTTAGAGAAAGATCCACTTGGTAGAGGTTTCCGGCTAAATGTATAACATTGTCAATTAGGAACACGGTGTGCTTGAAGAATTTGAGTACTTCGTCTTCTCTCTGATATTTACTGACGTGCTCGATTGATACAAACGGAGCAGATGACTTGGATGGATCGATCGTCATTACAAATATAATTCCTACTCAATCGGAACTATACTGATTGCTGTCGGTCACAAGGTACGCAACTGCTCGTTGATAGCTAGTGGATAAAAAGATATTGAATGGAATAAGTCCATATTCGACGTGGATGATTTTTTGAGTTCTTCGTTTCCAACATCCGGATCCCGATATACGGTAAAACAATTGCTAGAGCTATGATTACCAAATTGTTCTTCATGGAACGGTTGGGGCTGGTGACGTAAATCATGGACAAAGAAACCTAGCTTAGTGAGACGCTCGACGTCCATAACTCTAATGCGCTATTCAGCATGGGATACAAGAAGCATTAGGCAGTGTACTATGATATGGATGTTTTATCATAATATTCTCGTTCCAGTTCTGCTACAGTATTCAATAAATTCAGTAGTATGTTGGAGTTGTAACGTTATGTTAATTAAGTAGTATTTCCTTATGAATCTGGATATACATGAATGAAGAATCAAGTTGATGCGAATTCTGTTCACTAGTGTCCTGTGTGATCGTCATGATACTCTCGATCAATCCGATTGACAGTTTCGCACATGAGTGTCACGCCTGTATACACCTCTCTGGTTTTGGGCCAATATCGAGTCCATTGATTAGAACACATCACAATTGTTTCTGGTTCCAGAAAGAGAACATATCTCCAGTTGTTCTTAAACTTAATTTACCTACCTGAATCGCACCTAAGCTGAACCGTTGTCGAAAACCTGTAGTTTATTCACTGAGATTGAGTACTCATTACACATGATAATTTGCTACAACGGCAACCTTTGCCGCGATTTACAGTGCTTTTAGTTTTAGAGAGAAGAATGTTTATTTTTTCATCAGAAAAACTTAGTTATCTCGTCTCTTTTCGAGTGGCAATTTATCCGATTACTTTGATACAAGTGAAATACAAAAAACACTATTTCGAGTACATTGAAATAATCCGTGTTAGAAAAATGGTAATTTGATCATAAAATGACTTTCATCATCTAATGGAACAAGTTCTGTTTTACATGAATTTGTGTATTGTTTCAAAATTGACACAGCATGTTGAAATTCTTGATTAAAATGTTCACCATAAATCAAATCAATCGAACAATAAACTCCACTAAAGATCAAATTTGTTAATACAATCGAATCATGTCCTTCGATATCAGTTTTCATCATAATTTTCGATAATGGTAAATCTGATGGTATTTTTCGAGNATGATGACCAAATTATACTTGACTCTTTTCATTGTGATGACACTTTGTCAAATAAGTTTAACCAGACCCATGGGTAAGTTTACAAAGTCAATTTCAATGTGTAATCGAAATATCATTGCTCCTTCCTTTATAGCAACCGGTAATAGCAATCATATCTCGTCAATGCATCCTACTGGAACAGAATACAAAAATACTCAATTCCAATTTTCAGTAGTATTACCTAAAGATTGGCATTCGAAAGGATTGGTGGACATGTTCGAACAGCTTGAAAGAGAAACTTATCCATTTACACCGCAAAGCCACAAGTCGCTTGAAGAACGATATCAAGAGGGATTGGAAGAAGTATTACCACTCTTCACTTTTTCGAAAAACAATTCTGACGCAACTGATGAAAAATTGGTTCCAACTATCCAAGCGATGGCTTACAATAAATTACAAATCTCTGAATCGCTCACGGATTGTGACTTTTTGCAGCTTATTCAAAAAGGTATCGAAGCATCTCATACAAATGGTATTTCCAAACTTACGAATAACTGTGAAAGCTTTTGGCTGAATGGAATCCATTATGCCAGTCAAATGTCTCATATGAAAACAAATAAAATCGGGCCGATAATAAAACAGCAAAGATTTGCAGCACATGTACTCAAGACTCACGTTCTTTACATGGTGTTGAATTATTTTGATGAAGATCAGCGACTTCAATTACTCGACATCGTGAATAGTTTGAAATTTACTGGAAACCGTTAATCATTTCAGCTCTCCACATGTAGGAAAATTTGTATATAGATATGTGTGTGTGTATGTATCTATCTGTCAAAATAAATCTCATTTTGTATATTCAACAGGGAAAATTCTTACGAATAGCACATTGCTCAATTCTCTTTACAACTAGTTTTGAATTATTAGTTTTTTTCGAAATTAAGTTACAAGCGCCTTAAAGTTCATTATAAAGTCATGCGATAGCTGAGAAAGACTTTCCCCATTGCATAAAGGTATATCACAAACGAGCGTTAATTTCGAATGTACGTGGCAAAGTCGCGATTTCCCAGAAAACTCTGAGTCACCGTGTGGTTCGATAATGATGAGTCATGTAGAACTTTTCTACGGCATGTATATACCCGATCAGTAGGTAGAAAAAGTCTAAGGCAGCACATTTATTGAATGCGATCGACGAGATGCTCGTGAAGTATAAAAGGACAGAGGAAAGGGCAGTATTGAACTGAAGAAGGGTGGCGAAATCTGTTTGTCTTGTGTCTTCATTCGTAGTAAATTGAAATTAGTAAAATAAACGGAAAGAAGTCTGAGACCTTCTGACAAACTATTATCTGAGATGTAACGTAAAATAGAATTTGCGTTACAATGAACAATGTAAATATTTACATATAGAATAAAAAGAGTCAGTTTTCTTTTTCATTTTTTGACTTTGCAATGTATGAAACATGTATATCTTGTTTTTGCTTGGAATTTTCCTCGACATACCTAAATTTTGTATATTTTCTTCATCAATTTCACTATTAAAGGATTGGAAATTACCACATCCATACGTAATACAATCACCTACTTAAGGGCGGTGGGTGGCAACATGAGACACATCTACGCCTACATCGTAAAATGCAAAAAACAAGTGTTTTATTATCAGTATCACGTCACTAAAAACTGACTATGATGACGTCAAATTCGAAGAAAGTATTAATGCTAATTGCGTTAATTCGGAGTTTTCTACTGATCGATTAACAGTACCTCACAGCCAAATGTATGTCTTAACGATGAGAAACGTTAACGCAAATGTAATTGGAACAGAAAGATATTTTCACACACACTCTCATTCTCGTAAATACTCATGCAAATAATTAGGAAATGCAATAGAGTCGTAACTTGGTGGAGGATCAGTCTCATCTTCAATGTCTATTTCGGAATAATGAGGTAGGGAATTGGGTGGAAAGTTCGTTGTTTGACGTGATTCATAGCTATTCGAATTCGTGTTGGAGTCGCTAAGTATAGTGACAGGTAATGAAATATCAAAATTGGTAAACGTTCCTTCGACTTTCACTTGAAATTCCAGATCATAATGAACATTGACTTGCGTTTTGTGATCATATCCATGGTGGAAATTATAAGACGGAGGTAACGGAAGAAAAGGTATAGCCACTGAAAATTTGCCCATGATATGTTCGTCATTTCGATGATCTACTATTGGTAGAATCGTGTGGATTATTTTCTCTTGCTTCGTTTTAGATTCAATTTCATAAAATTGTGTTAATGATAATTCGATACGTTTCAATAAACTTCGACGAGGATTGTTCACTTCCAGTGTTCCCGTAATTAACTCGCCTGGCAAATAGGCGAGCTTATTCATGCTTCCTCTAAGAATAACATCCTTCCGGTTCTGCTTACTAAACATCGTTGGGGTGGGCAACTGTGCACTTTGCAATAGATCGATACGTGGAAATACTGTCAAATAGAGAAATTCACGTACATTGTGTTTGTACCACGGTTTATCCATCACTAATTTCAAGTAATATCGAACGTGAGGATAACTTCGAGGCTGATTGAGTGAAGGCGGAAGTTGTGAAGGCAATGGAATGTCAAAACGCCATGAATAGTCCCCTGGATTATAGATCAGGTATTTCTGTCCTAATGGAGGACTTTCAATGATCATTCTTGATTTTAAAAATGATATTGTGTGATATTCGGTGTCTCTACGCATTGTACCATTCGAGTCAGTAACAGCGCGAGTTGTTGTATAACCACTTTCGCCTGCTAATAGCAGAATAATTTCATCAAGTTTTATGTGTTCTTCATTGATATGAACATTGATTGTTCCGGAAACTGTTTCACCCGCAAAATAGAACAGATTTGCACGATCAGGATGAATATTAATTTGAACGCTGTGATTAGAACCCATTGTCTCTAACCAAATAGAAATCTAAACAAAGAATGTTATTAGTACATTACATTGAAACAACAGAACATGTGTAGTTAAGTGCAAAACGAAGCTCATCAAATGTTATATACATTGAATAAGACATATTTCGCGTATTTATATAAGTTTCCACTCTTTGCACGCGTCATAAGATCCTGCCAACGCAAAGGCTGATGTTTGAAAGAACGAGATATTTTTGAATTTATTGTTGTCTAAGAAAAGCAATGAGAAAGTGTGCGTACGATAGCTCTTCTCATTCTTTGACTTGTCGAAGGCTTATTCTCGCTTTGGTGCGAAATACTGAATCATTTTTGAATACTCACCGAGACCCTTCCTCGTTTCTTTCGTTGACGCAAGCATACGCGTCATTCTCGACTATTTACTCGCGTCACCAAAGCAAACGAATAACGTAGAACATCCGTTTGATTCATTTCTATAAAACCATGGCGAGTGACGGTGTATCGAGCAAGAGCCTTTTGACCTTGCACTGTTTTACAGCTGAACAAAAAAAACAAGATTCATACTTAAAAAAGGGCTCATAAAAACAGACGGATGGAGTGTAAGCGAGAATAGCTTTTTCTCTATGTTTTAAAATGCATCACGAAAACTATGGTCCAACTAAAAAGCTCCATTGGCATCTAACTGATCACTTGTCCCTTTTCGATGATGTGGATGAGAGCGTTGGTTTGTTTTAAGACATGTTGTCACTAACACTTCTCACGTTTAGTTACACTTTCACTCGTATCGATAATTGGTCTGACATTCCCGATTTACTTGTTTTTATTGTGATCCATAAGAATCATTATCAATATTATTGAATCGATAATCTATTGCCGAAAGCGTCTATAGAAGAAAGCTATTCGTCAGGTAAAATTAGAGATGCGAACGTTGCAGCGTTTTCGTACAATGAAACGGGTAAACGTTGCACGCCGCGTTTAGTTATGCCAGTGCGAGCTATACAAACGAAAATATTGACAAACAGACTTAAAAATAAAGTAGTGAATATCACCGATTGTTTTCAAATTGCTTTACTAAGATAAATGATGCCTTTGTCGTGAATTAAGTTTTTTTAAAGTGACAATTTTGTCAGCGTCTACATTTAGACATTTTCAGACTAATAGCTATGAAAAACTGCGCTGATAAAGTGATTGAAACTAGCGATATTGACGGTTAATACTTCAGCTAGATGCTGTATTCTGTCATTATCAATAATGTTTTCGGCAAGATATCACATCTTCAGCGTCTTTCAAAATACATGTTAGATGAGTATTTATAGGCAAGTTTTGCTTACTTTATTTGCTTTCAAAGCATCTGCTAAATATTTTGTTCCGCGTGTACCAACTTGATTCTTATCAAGGTACAATCTCGTCAATGTCTGTGCGTAAAGAAGAAAGAACAGGAGTATTGAAAGTCACTTATCAGAATTAACGGATGTTACGGAGTTTTCGTTGAGCACCTCCGCTAGATATTGTACGCCTTGATCACACGCGAAATTATCAGGTAAGAGTCTAAATATGCACGAAGTAACACTCTTGCGAAGAAAAAACCACACATACGTTATTAATAACTAAAGCAATCGATATTGAATGTGTTCCAATCGCTCCGATTTAATTTAAAGATAAGTCAAGATGGATCAGTGTCGGAACGAAAGCAATGCTATTTTGATTATCTAAGATAAATATGTTTTCATTGTTGTTGTTTGTGTTACGTGACAAATAGTAATCATATCTTCATCAGTAACTTGCAGATCTCGAAGGATCTGTACATCGCAATTTGAATTATCATCAAAATATCGTCTCCATCTCGGATTGCGGTCAGCAAAAGTGTTGAGTGATGACAATTCGTTTTCGGCAACACGTATGCAGTTAAGCTTGTGTTCGATGTTTCTAGATGATGAGTTTCGTTCAATAATTGATTGAGACTTTGCCAAGAGATCTTCTTCTACTTGCGCGCCGTCTAAGCATCGTCATGCAAGAATCGTTACATATGACAGTGGCGCAATCAGGGCAAAAATATTCAAGTTCTTTCTTTGAACATTGTGGATATATCAGAAGTACAAATTACGATAAATCGGCAATAAAGTGTGAACGAAAAAGACAGTTAAAATTTCAATGATCCTTTTCTGTTTCATTTTTCATCAATGCATTTGAAAGAATAACAATTCTTTGTTTGCTCTACTTAACAGAGTAAATACATGCAAAATTCTCCGAATGTCAGGCAGTCTGAATAGTATAGCAGGGGATGAAAATAAAACATTCATCATACACATTTTATCATACTATACAATGGTACATCACCTACTACCAGAACTATTCTTAGTTCGATACATCCTCTCATGACGTAGTCGAACTTCAATCACTGTTTAGGTGTTAATGGAGAACACGTATGAAAATAATATGATACCTTCACTTCATGGACAAAAACTTCACGATTTATTATCTTTATTAAATAAATGAAAAAGTGTTTTTTAGTTAGTCGGCGTTTCAGTCGCTGCCGCTGCCAATTGCAGGTTCTTCATAACACGATTCAAATCTGGATGGTTAGTTGTATAGCCATTGTTCTCATATATACCTTTGCTTATCGTCCAGTGCTGGAATGACTCAACATACTTCTTCTGAATCCAATAAACATACCCAATTTGTGAGTTAATATCTGCAAGACTAAGATCATTTGAAGGTACGGTTTTCTCGCGGATCTTAAGTGCTTCGATATATGTTCTAATAGCTTCGTCATAGTTCTTTGTGTGAGTGTAGTGTTCGCCAACGTTGTACATAGTGCGAGCTAAAGCCGGATGCACTGGGGAGAAACATTGTCGACACATCACAAGGGCAAGATCGAAAAAGGATTTAGCTTTGATCGAATCACCTTTATACGTGTGTAATACACCGAGATTATTCAACGTGAGAACAAGATCTGGATGATGATCCGGATAGATTTTCTTCTGTATCGTGTGAGCTCTTGAGAGATACTTTTCCGACGAGTCAAATCTCCTACTAAGTAAGTATGCGTTTGCCATTGAATTGAATATTTTCGCGATGGACGGATGATCGACCGGTACACATTTTTGAATGCAAGCGATTGCCTTTTTATACTGTTCTATGGCCGAATGATAATNCCAATATTTGTTCCCATATCAATATATACAAAACGACAACCATCAAGAAAATTTCCTTCAGATTCTGATAATATTTGTAATCTTTCTTTTCTTGATTCAATTCGATTAATTCTTAAGTTTTGTAATGAAAAGATTAGAACAAAAACAATAAGAACAAAGATACATATTCTTTTGAAAGATTTCAATATGAATATCGAATTCATCAATTAACAAATCTTTATAGAAAGATTAAACTAACCTGATTCACTGTCATTGCCATTTATATGTTTCTTTTTTTCTCAACTGAAATTCTTTTTTTTGTAAACGAACATGTGCATCGAATTATTTCTCTTTACAAACTTCAACTGAATAAACATCACAAAAAAAAAGAAACGATTTCTTTTTCTTTCACATCAAACAAAGTTATTACATTTTCACCTTTGCATCTTTCATACTGAAGATGAAATCGATCTAATCAAGATTAGAACGAATGTGTTTGTGCATTTTCGTTCTGTTTAATGTTTTCTCTCATTTAAAACTTTCGTTTTTCGTAACTTTTCATACAAGACAAGAAAAACAAGCAATACAAAATCATCAGACTTTCATCAGAAGTCGAATACATCGTATATTTATTGTGCAAGAATGACGATAAATGAAATCATCTTTTTTCATTTCATTCACACAAACAAATATGAAATATGAATGGGAAGAGATTATGACTCAATCATATCGTTGGTAAAATGTGTTAGTCACTCAATTTTGTTGTGGAGAACACGAAATGCCACATGACGTCTACCTACACAAGCTACCCCATACCTCATTGGGAACAGATTTGATGAAACTACCACCTTAAATATACTATACTATACTATATATAAATGTATCTGTTCATTCCCCTTACCACACAACTACATATCATTCCAATAAACTCAGAGTCTATACAAAATGATGACCAAATTATACTTGACTCTTTTCATTGTGATGACACTTTGTCAAATAAGTTTAACTAGACCCATGGGTAAGTTTCCAAAATCAATTTCAATAAGCACTCGAAATATCATTCCTCATTTATTTCTAGCAATCAGTAATACCAATCATATCTCGTCAATGCATCCTACTGGAACAGAATACAAAAATGCTCAATTCCAATTTTCAGTTGTATTACCTCATGGTTGGCATTCGAGAGGATTGGTGAAAATGTTCGAAAAGATTGAAAAAGAAACTTATCCATTTACAGTGCAAAGCCACAAGTCGCTTGAAGAAAGATATCAAGAGGGATTGGAAGAAGTATTACCACTCTTCACTTTTTCGAAAAACAATCCTGACGCAACTGATGCAAAATTGGTTCCAAATATCCAAGCGATGGCTTACAATAAAGCACAAATCTCCAAATTGCTCAAGCCCTGTGACTTTTTGAAGCTTATTCAAAAAGATATCGAAGCATCTCATACGGATGAATGTAAAATTTCTGAGCTGGATGGAATCCTTTACGCCAATCAAATATCTCACCCTCAAACAAATCAAATCGCGTCCAAAATAAAACAGCAAAGATTTGCAACTCATGTACTCGAAACTCACGTTCTTTACATGGTGTTGAATTACTTTGATGAAGATCAGCGAGAACAATTACTCGACATCGTGAAGAGTTTGAAATTTGCTGAAAAGCATTAATAATTTCAGCTCTCCACATATAGGAAAATTTGTATATAGATATATTTGTATATGTATCAGTCAAAATAAATCTCATTCTATACATTCAACAGGAAAAGCTCTTACGAATAACGTATTGCTCAATTCTTTTTACGACTAGTTTTGAATCATTATTTTTCTTCGGAAATTAAGTTACACACGCCTTAAAGTTCATTATAAAGTTATTCGATAGCTGAGAAAGACTTTCCCCATTGCATAAAGATCTATCACAAAAGAGCGTTAATTTCGAATGTACACGGCGAAGTCGCGATTTCCCAGAAAACTCTGAGTCACCGTGTGATTCGATAATGATGAATCATGTTGAACTTTTCTACGGCATGCATTTACCCGATCAGTAGGTAGAAAAAGTCTAAGGCAGCACATTGATTGAATGTTGAATAAACAAAATGACATGAATGCGATTGACGAGATGATCGTGAAGTATAAAAGAACAGAGGAAAGGGCAGTATTGAACTGAAGAAGGTAGGCGGAATCTGTGTGTCTTGTATTTGCATTCGTATAGTAAATTGAAAACAGTAAAATAAACGGAAAGAAGTCCGAGACCTTCAGCCAAACCTTTATCTGAGATCTAATGTAAAATAGAATTTACGTTACAATGAACAATGTAAATATTTACATATATAATAAAAAGAGTCAGTTTTTTTTTCATTCTTTGACTTTGCAATGTATGAAACATGTATATCTTGTTTTTGCTTGGAATTTTCCTCGACATACCTAAATGTTGTATATTTTCTTCATCGATTTCACTATTATTGGATTGGAAATTACCACATCCATACGTAATACAATCATCTACTCAAGGGTGGTGGGTGGCAACATGCGATACATCTACGCCTACATCGTAAAATGCAAAAAAACACTGATTATTTTGAATTTTCTACAAACAGGCAAAACCAAAAAACAAACAAGTGTTTAATTATCCGTATCACGTCACTAAAAACTGACTATTGATGACGTCACATCTGAAGAAAGTATTAATGCTAATCGCGTTAATTCTGAGGTTTTTATTGATCGATTAACAATACCTCACAGGTAAATGCATATCTTAACGATGAGAAATGCAAATGTAATTGGAACAGAAAGATATTTTCACTCACAGCCTCATCCTCGTAACTACTTCTACAATTAATTAGGAAGTACAATAGAGTCGTAACTTGGTGGAGGATCAGTTTTATCGTTAATGTCTATTTCGGGATAATGAGGTAGTGAATTTGGTGAAAAGTTCGTTGTTTGATGCGATTCAGAGCTATTCGAATTCGTGTTGGAGTCGCTAAGTATAGTGACAGGTAATGAAATATCAAAATTAGTAAACGTTCCTTCGACTTTCACTTGAAATTCCAGACTATAATGAATATTGACATGCGTTTTGTGATCATAACCATTATGGAAATCATAAGACGGAGGTAACAGACGAAAAGGTATATCTACTGAAAATTTGTCCATGATATGTTCATCATTTCGATGATCTACTATTGGTAGAATCGTGTGGATTATTTTCTCTTGCTTCGTTTTAGATTCAATTTTATAAGATTGTGTTAGTAATAATTCGATACGTTTCAATAAACTTCGACGAGGATTATTCACTTCCAGTGTTCCCGTAATTATCTCGCCTGGCAAATAGGCGAGCTTATTCATGCTTCCTCTAAGAGTAACATCTTTCCGGTTCTGCTTACTAAACATCGTTGGAGTGAGCAAATGTGCACTTTGCAATAGATCGATACGTGGAAATACTGTCAAATAGAGAAATTCACTGACATTGTGTTTGTACCACGGTTTATCTATCACTAATTTCAAGTAATATCGAACGTGAGGATAACTTTGAGGTTGATTGAGTGAAGGCGGCAGTTGTGAAGGCAATGGAATGTCAAATCGCCATGAATAGTCTCCTGGATTATAGATCAAGTATTTTTGTCCTAATGGAGGACTTTCAATGATCATTCTTGATTTTAAAAATGATATTGTGTGATAATCAGTGTCTCTATGCATTGTACCATTCGAGTCAGTAACAGTGCGAGTTGTTGTATAACCACTTTCGCCTGCTAAAAGCAGAATAATTTCATCAAATTTTATTTGTTCTTCATTGATATGAACATTGATTGTTCCCGAAACTGTTTCACCGGCAAAATAAAATAGTTCTGTACGATCAAGATGAATATTAATTTGAACGCTGTGATTAGAACCCATTGTCTCTAACCAAATAGAAATCTAAAGAAAGAATGTTATAAGTACATTATATTGTAACAATAGAACATGTGTAGTTAAGTGCAAAACGAAGCTCATCAAATGTTATATACATTGAATAAGACATGTTTTGCGTATTTATATAGGTTTTTATTTGTACGCATCATAAGATCCTGTCAATGCAAAGACTGTCGTTTGACAGGAAGATTGAAAGAACGGGATCTTTCTGAATTGAATGTTGTCTAAGAAAAGCTATGAGAAAGTATGCGTACGATAGCTCTTCTCATTTTTTGACTTGGCGAAGGCTTATTTTCGCTTCAGTGCGAAATACTGAATCATGTTTGAATACTCACCGGGACTCTTCGTCGTTTCTTTCGTTGACGCAAGCATACGCGTCATTCTCGACTATTTACTCGCGTCAGCAAAGCAAACGAATAACGTAGAACATCCATTTGACTCATTTCTATACAATCATGGCGAGTGACGATGTATTGAACAAGAGCCTCTTGACAGTACACTGTTTTACAGCTGAACAAAAGAACAAGATTCATACTTAAAAAAGAACTCATAAAAACAGACGGATGGAGTGTAAGCAAGAATAGCTTTTTCTTTGTGATTTTAAAATGTTTCTATAGTAAAACCATTTTGAGGATGTGAATGAAAACGTCGTTTTGTTTCAAGGTATTTTGTCACTAACACTTCTCACGTTAGTCACACTTTCATTCATATCGGTAATTGGTCTGATATTCCCCATTTGTTTGTTTGTATTATGATCCGCAATAATCACCAAGGCTTGATTCATCTGTTGTTTCAGATCATCATCATCAATATTATTGGATCGATAGTCTATTGCCGAAAGCGTCTATAGAAGAAAGCTATTAGTCAGATAAAATTAGAGATGCGAACGTTATCGCGTTTTCGCACAACGAAACGAGTAAATGTTGCGCGTCACGTTTAGTTATGCCAGTGCAAAGCTATACAAACGAAAAGATTGATAAACATACTTAAAAATAGAATACTGAATATCGCCGATTGTTTTCGAATTGCTTTACTAAGATAAACGATACCTTTGTCGTGAATTAAGTTTTTTGAAAGTGACAATTTTGTCAGCGTCTACATTTAGACATTTTCAGCCTAATACCCATGAAAAACTGCTGATAAAGTGATTGAAAGTAACGATATTGACGGTTAATCCTTCAGCTAGATGCTGTATTCTGTCATTAACAATAATGTTTTCGGCAAGATATCACATTTTCAGCATCTTTCAAAATACATGTTAGATGAGTATTTATAGGCAAGTTTTGCTTACTTTATTCGTTTTCAAAGCATCTGCTAAATATTTTGTTACGGAGTTTTCGCTGAGTATTTCCGCTAGAGAGTACACGCTTTGATCACATGCGAAATTATCAGAAAGATTCAAGCAGGTACGAGGCTAAATATGCACAAAGTAACACTCTTGTGGAGAAAAAACCACACATACTTTATTAATAACTAAATTAAGCAGCACATATTGCATGTGTTCTAATCGCTCCGATTTTATTTAAAGATGAGTCAAGATGGATCAGTGTCGGAACGAAACCAATGTTATTTTGATTATCTAAGATAAACATGTCTTCATTCTTGTGCTTTGTGTTACGTGACTAATAGTGATCATATCTCCATCAGTAATTTGCAGACCTCGAAGGATCTGTACATCGCAATTTGAAGTATCATCAAAATATCGTTTCCATCTCGGATTTCGACCAGCAAAAGTGTTGAGTTGGTTTTCGACAACATGTATACAGTTAAGCTTGTGTCCAAATGTTTCTAGATGATGAGTTTCGTTCAATGATTGATTGAGACTTGCCAAGAAATCTTCTTCTACTTGCGCGTCTTCTACATATCGTTATGCAAGAATCGCTACAATATGACAGTGGTACAATCATGGCAAAAATATTTAAGTTCTTTTCTTGAACACTGTGGGCATATCAGAAGTACAAGTTACGATAAATCGATAATAAAGTGTGAACGAAAAAGACAGTTAAAATTGCAATGATTCTTTTCTGTTTCATTTTTCATCAATGCATTTGAAAGAATAACAATTCTTTGTTTACTCTACTCGAAACAGAGTAACTACATGCAAAATTCTCCGAATGTCAGGCAGTATGATTTATATCAGCAGTTTGAATAGTATAGCAGAGGATGAAAACAAAATATTCATCATACACATTTTATCATACTATATAATGATACATCACCCACCCACCGAGAACTATTCTTAGTTCGATATATCCTCTCATGACGTAGTCGAATTTCAATCACTGTTTAGGTGTTGATGGGGAACACGTATGAAAATAATATGATACCCTCACTTCATAGATAAAAACTTCACGATTTGTTATCTTTATTAAATGAATGAAAAAGTGTTTTTTAGTTAGTCGACGCTTCAGTCGCTGCCGCTGCCAATTTCAGGTTCTTCGTAACACGATTCAAATCTGGATGGTTAGCTGTATAGCCATTCTTCTCATATATACCTTTGCTTATCGTCCAGTGCTGGAATGACTCAACATACTGCTTCTGAATCCAATAAACGTATCCAATTTGTGAGTTAATATCTGCAAGACTAAGATCATTTGAAGGTACGGTTTTCTCGCGGATCTTAAGTGCTTCGATATATGTTCTAATAGCTTCGCCGTAGTTCTTTGTGTGAGTGTAGTGTTCGCCTATGTTGTACAAAGTGCGAGCTAAAGCCGGATGCACTGGGGAGAAACATTGTCGACACATCACAAGGGCAAGATCGAAATAGAATTTAGCTTTAACCGGATCATCTCTATACGTGTGCAATACACCGAGATTATTCAACGTGAGAACAAGATCTGGATGATGATCCGGATAGATTTTCTTCTGTATCGTGTGAGCTCTTGAGAGATACTTTTCCGACGAGTCAAATCTCCTATCAAGTAGGTATGCGTTTGCCATTGAATTGAATATTTTCGCGATGGACGGATGATCGACCGGTACACATTTTTGAATGCAAGCAATTGCCTTTTTATACTGTTCTATGGCAGAAGGATAATCACCTTGACGTTCACGAACCATGCCAATGTAGTGATAGCATTCGCCAACCGTTGGATGATCGGATGAGACGCTGTTTGCCAAGATTTTTAAACTCTCATCAAAATAAGCAAGTGCAGATTGATAATTTCCTTTTTCTAAATGTACACTCCCAATTGCCTTATAAGAGCTAGCAACTAGCAGGTGACTGGCTCCAAGAGCTTCGACAAATATGCCAACTGCTTTCTCATAATATTTCAATGCTTGTGCATAGTCTCCGTTCTCCAACTTGACACTGCCAAGCGCTTGGTAACTGTTGGCAATGGACGGATGATGAGAAGGCAATGCTTTGTCGCGAATGCTCAATGCTTTTTCATAATTTTTGTCTGCATCTAGATATTTACCTCGAGCATGGTACACAGCAGCGAGTGCATTAAGATTGTCGGCAATCAAAGGATGATCTTCGGGAAGGAGGTTCTTTCGAATTTTGAGAGCTTCTTTATGATGATGCTCCGAAATATTATAATTGCCTTGCAGATATTCGACCCAGCCAATATTACTGTTTGTGATTGCTATCTGAAGGCTTGCTATACGACTGGAGTCGTTCGTTTGGTTCTGTTGAAAAATGTTGAGAGCCTCGTTGAATTTGGCTTTGGCGTCGGTGTAACGGCCCATTTGTCCTTCCATAACGCCTAAACTGTTCAACGTATGAGCTATCAACGGGTCATTGAACTTCAAGTGTTTCTGACGAATTTCGAGCGCGCGTTTTATAAGGATAAAGGCTTTATCAAATTCCCCCATACAAGCATGTGCTCTCCCTTGGTTATGATACAATGGTGCGTATTGGAGTGCGTCATCTCTCCAGATATTCTTCATCACATCAATATACTCATCGTAATAATCTTTGGATTTTTTGTACTGTCCCATGTCAATTAACAGTCGACCAAACATAACTCTTTTGTCATCGCTTTCTAAGTCATCTTTCGATATTCCGATATATTTTTCCACATTTTCATAACCTTCATCAGTCGCTGACATGCGCACTAAGACGTATGAGTTAGATCCTGATTTCTCTTCGACGCCAGTTATCTTGAAAACTGCACCTAAATTGAAAAGAACTTCTTCTTCCTCGGGATGTGCACTTATATGCCGAACATCAGCAAATTTGGTTTGCTTCAAGTTTGGTGGAGCGGTAATTTTGAATAAAATTGGCATAAGACCGGCTCTGTGTGAGTTTCCCTCAACGAATTCAATAGCTTTGTCTCGATTGGTCGAAGTAGAGAAGAAACTATTCGTTGAGATCAGTTTATCCTTACTTTTTAATATCTGTTCATGCTCACGCTTAGTAATCACCTGACCGCGAAACAGCTGCAATGGTAGTTTAGGTTCGCTCGCTTCCCGCTTTCTATGTAGATCGTCGATTTCATTGGACAACTCGACGATAAAGCATCCAAATCGACACAATGAATGAACATCCTCATTCCTCAACGCTTTGTTTAAAAGTTTGTAAAGAAATGATTCAAACGTGTACCAATAGATAGCCGACTTTTTCTCGTCATTTCGTCGATATCGTTCAATATTCGGCAACTCGCTTGGATCGTTTTTCTCACAATACGCACGGCACATATTGATCATTTCCATTCGAGCATGACTATCCTGACCAAAATCTTTCAAGATACTGAGCAGAATTTGAAACCATAAGAAAGCAGCTGAATTTCTGGTGAGATCACGTGTCGTCGTTTGCGATTTGGAGTCGAACATATTGAAGTCAATGGCCATTTTCATCGCATTGCGAATATTTTTACCAATATGGTTCATCATTTCTTTTCCAAATTTGAGAAAATGGATAATCTTACCGGCACTATTCAGCATATTACACGCCTGTTTGGCGCGATTGCCATCTGAATCGATTACGTAAATATACGCCACTTGGTGTCGTTTATTCAGTTCTGTGATAAAGTCATTGGTAATTTCGTCAAAAACAGAATTTATGATAATAAACACTGTTTCGTTTGTCGACGTTTCAATTGTTTGACGTGCATCATTGATAGAAGAAAATGTCACTGAAGCAGTAGTGACGTTAAGTTCGTTTTCCAAAGTTTTCTCAGTGTAAGATGACGGTACGCTTCCAATCCAGAAAAGTGATACAACTCCATTATTAGTCGCAACTCTTTGTTCTGTCAGGGCAGCAATAGCTGTAATCTCTTCATCTTTTTTGCAATCACCTTCAGGAAATACTTGTTTTCCGTTAGCAAGTCCCATCGTAAGATCTAAATAGATATATTCAGTTTGGAATAAATTTGACTTAACTCAATTAATTACTTCGCGCTCTTCGATTGTATTCGTGTCCTTGTTCTTCTCTGAATACTATTTCAGATTTTCGATAATAATATGACGTTTGTCTTGTTAGCCGGAGTATTAATTCTAATAAATGATTTGATCTAAATAAAGTAAATGTTGTAAAAATTCATGAAAAACAATGCTTTTATAGTCTTTATTAAAATAGGAAAAACAGTTCAAATCCAATGAGTTAAAATGGTGGAGTATAAGACGTCTGGAAGACAGTCGGATTCGAGATGGACCAAGGCGGTGGTTGCGAGAGACATTGTGCTTCGTTCGAAGCTGCATGCGGCACGTTATTATTTGGCGGAATGGCAGGATATGCTTGTTTATTCTTATCAGGCTTTATAGGTGGTAGAGATACGACTGTAGATGGTTTATTCTGTTCTGTAGCAGTTGTTGTTTTAAGCTGTGACTTTGGCTTGTTCTTTTTGCAACAAGGACAGCATTGCATTAGCAGCATTATAAATGATAGAATGAATGCAAACCCAGCACAGCCAACTTGGATGTAAAGGAACAAACGTTTACTGTCGTAGGTACTGTAATTTGCAAAGGCAGAGATTGTATTTAGAAATTTGTAGGATGTGATTGGAGGACGTGAGCTGCATGTTGGTGTCAATATGCAGATGTATGGATTGAGAATGAATGCAATATCGAAACCTATCAGTGTACCCAAACTCAACACTGATAATAAACAACTAAAAATTGAGTATCTATGACAGCAATTACAGCATCCATTCTTTGAGCATTCTGAAAATAAATTCGTTATTTAGTAGTATGACTATGTCAATATATAAGTTACTTACTATGCACTAGGATTACTATTACATAATGGAAAATGACTATTGATGTCCAAAACCCACCGAAAACATTTGTATACCAAAAATCAATCAGGATATTAGCTACTTCGGTCAGAGCAATAAGTACGCTCATAATTAACAGAAGCACAGACATAAAAATTGGCCAGCATTTAGTATTGCAGGACATGATCTACAATGATAAGTTTAATACTGTGTATTAATCGTACCGTAAATTGGATGAGGGTGATGGTGTGATCATTTTTCTTTGACCCACACCCTCGTCTACATTCTTGAATAGTGTTCTGTATGTGAAGATAAGGGTATCGCGAGTTTCTCTACATGTACGTTCTGCAATAGTGAGGAGTTTGACGACATAGTTGTATTTGCAAAATAACAATGATTCTGTTCTGTAATTCATTATGAAACATTTTACTTGGTAAAAGCCAAACAACCGAGAAGAAAAAAGTGGACATAGAAAACTTACAGAAGTTACAATAACAAAGATTTCTGACAACAAAGAAAAAAATTATGTTAAACAGTTACTACAATCAATAAACATTGAGACAAGGAGAAAGAAAAGAGAATTTTAACAGAAAACATTTCACCTTGGTAAAAAACAATAAGTATACGCGTGTTTGCGCGATTTTGGTCGTAACTATAGAGTGCAAATGAGAATTTAAGGCATTAAGTGCCGGTGGATTAATTCGAACTCTCGAAACCTAAACGAAACAGTTTATTCGATAGCAGAATGTGATACGAGTAATTTTTGTGTCGATTGTCCAATGAAAAGAACAGTTAAGCAATACTTCGCTGGTCGCTGCTGTTTGTTTCCCTTCGAGTAGCTTGAATAAACATTCCACTACTGTAAATAAACTTTTCAAAATGATGAGACACAGCTTAACCACATCTGATTCCTTACTTTTTGTGCTGCATTCACTTTGACTCTCTTATTGATTCTCAGTGTTGTCTTCAATTGCCGATGAAAATTCTCGTATGTGATGCAGATATGTTGGTTGAATTGCTTGTGCAAAAGAATCTTTATCACGAAATAGACATATTAGTACTAAACATACACGAAATGAGTCATCAAACTGACCGATTAAGGTTGCTCTTTTCATGAATCTTTGCTTTCCACTTGTCTTGTTTTCATTGAAATATGATGTTAATCGACGAATGGCGATAGTAAAGGAAGAAATCATGCTATTTTGTTAGTCAAAGCTTTTCTTGCCCTTCGTCTACACCTTCAATCCGCTACTCAAGTGTATTCAAATAACATCATATCGATAGTATTAAAGTGTTATTTAAACCTTCCATTGGCAATATCTTCTTTATTAAGGCATAACTAGATCACAGTGAAGAAATCGTACGAGAAAAATTTTAATTATTGGAGTATAAACTCTTTTATTCGTTCAATTTATATTTCCTTACTGTATTTTTCACAGTCGAAAATATCAACACGCAAAGACAAAATAGACGTTATGTTAAGATCATTATCTAATCCAGTTCAAAATAAATGATCAAAAAACAAATTTTCAAACTAACGTATGTGCGATAAAAGTATTGCTTTTCCATAATCCGCATTGTACCCGACGAAAAAGAAATTTCTATCGAAGTACATCGTTTGATTACTTACTTCAACAACCAATCCAATACCTCGCTGGAGCAGTTACAAAAGAAGATGATTCATTTCATTATAAAATGTTAAATTTATCTTAATGCAACGCTTGTAGTTGTATATATTCGGGGTCAGACAGAGCAAGGATGAAAAAAATCTTTCGAGTATGCGTTTGTATTCACACCTTCAAGTTATCGCAACGAGTAAGAAACACATGTGCTGATTTATTTACTTTTGTTTCCTCGCCGGTATTGGCCATTAAATTGCGAAATATTTTATTTCTCCATCGAAATGAATCGTCCATGGGATTTTTTTTCCTTTCTACATCACACATATAAAGTCACGGCAAAAAGTATTTTTCATCGTATAATATTACTAACGAATTAATCCGAACACTGATGAATTTTGAGTTTGGTACGATATAACTAAGCTGTTGAAATGATTTTTAGTCAAAGAAAGTAATTTTCTCTGTTTCATAGGTTACGGGGAAGAACGCCTCGAAACTGCGTCTTCAGATGCATCGATGGAAGTAAGTCGAGGCAACTTAAATGAACTGAGTAAGATTGCTTTCCATCTATAAATTGTACTAAACTTAGCTGAATCAACCTTGTCTTGTTAGCAGCTATCTTTGATAATCTCCCAGAACTGGATCCAGAACAATTGAGCGACGACATACATCAGATGGAATCATCTCAAAAGCGTTCATATCCGTTCAATGGTTTCGGTATGTCTAGTTTCATTTTTTTCCTCTTTTTTTCTATATTAAAATCGATCTGTCTCATCTCACTCAACTTTTGTCTTTCTCTCAAGACTTTGTGACAATGCCAAGCATTGAAATTTTTGCTCAACCGTCATCGACGCAACAGTCATGTACCAAATCTGAGTCCAAAGGCAGAACTGTGCGTTTCATTCATGGAGTACACAACGAATTAAATGGAGAAATATACGATTGTCCAGCTATCAGAGTAAATACGCTTGCTCATGCTTCCTATTGGCATTTAGATATACTCTGTTCATTCGTGTCTAGATATCAGAAAAATATTTCAATGCCAATAGACCCTACTTCATCTGTGTTACGTTAACAACGGTTGAAGTAAATGGCAATTGTTATATCCACCCTTGTCCCTTGGAAATACATGAAGCGGAATATCAAAAAGGAATTGGTCACTTCGACCGAAGTATACTTTACCCAATAAACGCGAATACAGTCGATCGTAATGGAATCATGAAGTATGATTGAACATGATCAGTAGACTTCTATATTACTCGAGCTCTATGGCGTGTTACTTTTTAAAGGTTCGACAAGTTGATCATTATAAAAGCTACACAGAAGGATCTTAAAAGTCTGGTTCCATTCGAGTTAAGTGAGTACTTTTATCTTTCGTAATAAAGTTTGTTCATACTTGCTCTGTTCTCTTTTTCTTTCCACAGGTAATGAACATCAAACTACAACGAAACGCCCAAAGAAAACTGCTTCAAACGATCAGCTGAAATACTTACAATTAGCCTTCAGCGTGGGTGAACTTCGAAATCCGCAACTTTTTCAACCGTTTGAAAAAATATTCTCGGACGTTATGCGGGAAATGGAAGAGGGTAGGTAACTGTTAACATGTTGATCTTCGTGGTTTCGATTTTTCTCTTCGATTTTGTAGGAGAATCAGAAGCAGTGCAAAGCACTCAAATGAGCAATGGTGCACTTATATTCTACGATAACTTTCAAAGTGATAAAATCGATCTAACCAAATGGGAGTTTCTTGAAGGCACTGGAGAAAATGGATGGGGTACTCATCAAAAGCAGTACCATACAGGAAGTGTTGATGACAACGCCAGATGTGAGAATGGTCGTTTGGTCATCGAAGCGCGAAAACAACAATACAAAGGCTATCGATTTACATCCGCTCGATTAAGGAGTAGAAAAACATTCCGGTATGGCCGGCTTGAGGTATGAACCGTTATAGCTTTTCAACAAAGATTTTCCTGTTCTTCTGCATAACTTCAGATCCGCGCCAGATTACCTCCTGCCAAGGGAACATGGTCTTCATTTCTTTTGGTTTGTATTCGACACACAAAATAAGTAGTCAAATGCGATCTCCTGATCTGTTTCGTTTTAGCTTCCCGTCAAACGTACTTATGGCAATGCGATGTGGCCAGAGAACGGCGAAATAAACGTAATGTCACACTTGGGACGCACTCCGGGGATCGTTAGATCGTCACTTTGCACCAAAAAGAATAATCCACTGTGCAATAGCATTCTTATTGATGAAGTCAAAATTCCCGACGGAATGGATCATTTCAAAACCTATTCACGTAAGAGAGCATTGTCTTCAGTTTTCTCAGCTCATAGAGTAGTATTCTGAATTGTATTTGTGTTTAGTGGAATGGACACCCGATCGAATAGAAATGTTCGTTCGATTGAACGATACAGATGAGAACGATACATCAATCTTAGCATTTGAGAAACATAATAGAGATTGGAAGTTTTGGTAAGTTGTCAGATATCGATCAGTATTACTAGTTTGTTGAAAATCGTTTTTTCCTCTGATTCTGTTTTCAGGCCATTTGACCAGGAATTCCATCTGGAAATATATCTAGGTGTTGGTGGAGATGTGTAAGTACAATGACTAAGGATAAAATTCCAACGCGTATTATCGTCTGAAACAATTATTGCTTTCACTCTGCGTTTTTCATTGTAGAGCTGGGGATGACATTGATGAAGATCAATTTCCTCAACGATTCGAGATCGAATATGTATCTTTCCAGGGATACAACTATACATGAAATATCAAGAAAATTGTTTTTTGGTACATGTTGCATTTTAAACGAGCATATCGACTGATTAAGTTTTCCTTTTTCTAGAAGTAATCATCTAAGTATTTTCACTCATTGGGTTTTCGTACATTGTGTCGTACTATAACTTTAATTCTGAATATAGTTATATTATATTTTCTTGGCTAGAGTGCGTTGTGCGATATATAAAATGATAAAAGTAAGCTGTGTGTCAAGCGATGACTTCGAATACTGACTGACTGGAGACTGCGATGACATTTTCCCAGTGAGTTGTATCGAACTGATCGGAATAGATTTTTCTCATTCTCATTTACACCACAGCAGCAAAGGACAACTGTTTATCTATTATAATCACACAAAAAAAACAATTCACACTCATGAAAATATTGTTTTTCAAACAAAAGAGTGCCTCACGGACTTTGTATTCATCATTACGATATATCACCATTCTCTGCCTATGTGTATACCTTGCTTCTATGCAAATCTAGCCGACGTCCTGTGACTTTGTTTTTAAGTCAAAAGAAACCATTTCCAGGAAGAACTAGCTATTGTTGAAATTGGGCGTTATTGGCTTTGTGCAAATAAATCCCATCTGTGTGATTGCTATCTATTTGAAGCCTACTGTTCCTATTCTTACACGGCCACATTGCGGCGAAGGTCACGCCCTGATCCTGAAAGTATGCTTGTGTGAATGTCACAGTTTGCTACATGTTTAATCGAAAAATCATTTTGTTATAGCTATTCAACAGTTAAAAGAATTCAATCCCAATGAAAAGGCGCAATGCGTCGCTGCGGCCACGTTGAATTGAAAACCAAATACGATGAGGATGACTTGTGAATTCAAAGAGTAGCAGATTTTTCGGTTGATATACTCAATCAGAGTATAGTACGTTTCATATTCTTTTTGATTCTCTTATCTCGAAAATAAAAGCATCCGACGTCGAATGACAGACATTATCTAATTGAAAACTTTTTGGGCACTATAGCCCTCTCCTCACCTAAACCTACTCAGAAATATTATTAAAGAATCTATGATATCATATGTGCCTGGGAGATGATAAAAATCTAACGATTAGATGTGGGAGAAAGAATAACTAGATGACAACAGTATTGTTTACACGAGAAAACGCTCGCGTTTCTCATAGTCAGATGGAAAGAATTTTAAAAAACCGTTCTATGGGAAGAGATAGATGGTGTCATGCCACCCCATCCGGGTGCTTTGAAATACTAATATTACAATCCATGGGATAAACGAAAAAAACCCTCATCCCATCGATCGCGAAGTTCTAGTATAGATAATGTAACTGCAATGAATTTCAGTCTTAATTACAAATTTAGTCATCCGACGGTGAAAACCTGCATAAGAAATCTAAAATTGTATATGTAAATATTTTATTTCGAAGATTTATTGATAATCTACCGAAAAAAACACGAATTGAAAACAATCGATACAAAAGAAAGCGATTAAATTTTCCAGCACAGTTTCTGTTTTTTAACGCCAGGTTTGTTGACTGCGTTGTTTTACACAATCTCTCAAAAAAACTGAATGAATACCTCCATCTTCGAAAGTAAATATAACTTCCTTATTCTCGTAATATTGGACCAGGAGTAAATGCATAATAAGGATTGTCTCCATGATGCACTCCAGCTCGACCGTTGATTGTTGCTTTAACAACGCGGACCGTGAAAGTTGAATGCATTTCGATCAGTTAATCTCACTTTGCATGAAGTTATTCCAGGCGGTTTATGGTTTGTAAGTTTATCCCAAGTAGAGCCATACAAATCAAGGCCACCTCCTAAATTTGAATTCGTGACGATAATATCTAATGATCCATGGCCACAGTCTACATTCAGCACATGACCACATAATTGCGGTCGAAATTTGAGATCTTTCAATGATTCAATATTTCCAAGTGCAACTGGATTGACAACAGCATAATTTGATGTCGGTAGTGCACACGCTCCATGTTCAGTTGCACCATGCCGTGTTGTATGAACACCATACATTGTTCTATCTGTTGATATTTGTTCCACAACACCACAAACCACACTACGATCACCAGTTGAGAACGCATTTTCTTTTGTAGCATGTCCATGTTTCATCCAACAAGTTCCACCATTATAAGTTGTCGATGTAAAATGAGTACAACCAGATGTTGCAGCACATCTTCCACCGCACTGCTCACCAGGAATTCGCGCATCCGTTAAATCATTTTTATAAAAATCACAAGCGAATGCCCAATTTCCATTCCAATGAATAGCTGTTATAGACCTTGTAAACAAAACAATGATCAAAATTGGATAGACGTTGGTGCTGCTCATCATTCACACGTCGAAACAATTATTTCTCTATTTTCTTTTTGTTTATCTTGATACATTTCTTTATTGGTTTATATAACTATCCGTGAGAAGAACGAACTTTCCCACTATTGCCGTCCGATACGCAGTGCCATGCGGGAACGATTTCCCCACTCCCATTGACATAGAAATGAGAAGCAAGCAAAGGATATATGGTCTCATAAAAAGGGCCTAATGAAGCTAAAGCAGACGAACGAGAAGCTATCTTGAGGGTGAAGATGGTAGTTCAAAAGTTCAATGCTCGAGTGAAACTAATGACTTATGCACCAACCCTCACAGCCCATTTAACAATCCTTGAATTAGATCCGCCTGCTTAATCGATGTTTTCTGTTGATAAATCGACTTGATTTCTGGCAACAATCTTCTTCCCCACACAGCGATATCCGCTAAGCCACTGCCACTGGAAAAATGACATCCTATTCGAAGATTATGAACACGTATGGGCTCCCCATATTGTAGATCGATTTTTTTGATTAACTGACCGTCTATATAAATGTGAAGTGAAGTTTCGCCATGAGTAATGGCCACGTGATGCCAAACGTGTTCATCTCGTTGGCCACCATCGATATCCCATATCTTACTAGGCAAGATGACTCTAATTTTCATTTGCTTTTCGATGTCCATGGTTATTTGAATGCACCACCACCAACTATAAGCTCTTTGAAAATGAAAAACAATTATCCCGTCTGTAGAATAAAAAAACCATAATGATATAGAGAATGTTTTGAGTGAGCATTTCTGAAGGTTGAACGCATTTATTAACCAGATTGGCTTGGCGGTTTGAAACGTTAAAATACGATTAAATAGTTCATCTGTTTCAATCGTTATGCCGTCGTTATGTTTCACAACAGAGTCATGATAACCACACATGTCACCAATGGAATTCATTAAGGGATTCTGATCAGTTTCAATAACGTTTGTAAAATCGATGTGTAACAGAAGATCTTTAGTTAGCATTGGATATTTAGTGAAACACTTCTTGAGAAACCATTTGTTCAAGATCAAACGACGAAACTTCTGTGAAACAGTCGATAATTGTATCAGCTGTTTGTAAGTCGGTTTCGCAAGTAGAATAATTTTTGACCAAACTTCAGGCGGCAAATCGGGAGCACTCATAGATAGTAGTAATGTCGTTGACTGACTTTATCGACAGTAAGCTAAATAATATATCGTTGTGCAATACTCTTCGAGTATCATGAAATGTTTTCTCAATGACGTCACATATTCGTCATTGCTTTATCGCTGTACGTTCTTTTAATGCGCCAATTCCATTTAATCGACTCTCTACGAAGTTCACTGAAATTTGTGGACAAAAGAAACGAGTGGGAAATGTATTCAATGAAATAGATGAATAGTATGTAGTACTTCGAGTTATTCCTACGAGAACTCGTTTGCAAAGTCAGCTAAATCGTATATGAACTAACCTCAAGATTCGTAAGAGGTCACTGGTGTTAGTTTGTTACAGAGAATTCTCGCAATTTATGTGACAAGAATAGATGTTGAATACCGCACTATTCAAATTCCCATATTCATTCATTTTTATTTAGCATTTCTATCATTCAACATTCATAATCACAAGACCAGCTCTTCCTGTTGTTTTCTTCTTCGGAGATCAAGCTTGGTAGACAAAGACAGCATTCTAAATTCTTCTTATTATACCATGAGAAGGAAGAGAATGACAGTTGACATTAACACGGCATTTTGCTCTGAAAATATCGTTCTCACACAAACTCATACTTCATTTACTCGAATGTTCAAATTCGTCTTCTTCACTACTTGTGCAATCCCGTCGACTACGCGCAGTCTGATCTTATTTTACTATTTCACTCAATTACATAGATTACATGGAAAACGACATAATCTTAAGTAAAAAACTTCCCTTGATTCAATAATCGTTTAAGTTTCCTTCTCTGCAGTTTTCTCATAACGACAATCTAATTCCTTCGTGGAAGTCTCTCTGCTTCTTCTGGATTTTCAGCAATTATTTCCTTCTCGGTTCAACGATATCCTTTGCTTTACAAAAAAAAACATTTAATCAATAATCATTATACGTATTGTGTGCCCATCGTTTTAATACCCATCTCTCTTCTCATTTGATACACCGTACTGAATATTATTTATCCATGTCGGCAACAGATCGATCGAACAAAATTATGATGCTCGGGAGCGTTCTATATAAATGAAGAAACAGTGAGTATATATTGAGTTCGTTCATCCCGATTCTATTGACTATTACGTTCGATATGCTTCTTGATTCACAATTAATTTATCAAAACTTTAATCATAGTTGGCGTGTAATCCGAAAATTAATTACTCAACTTTCTTCGAGATTTTTCTATCCGATATGAAATCTACAAAAATACTTCTTCCATCGTTTATTTTCCATCATAAGAGCAAATATACGCAATCTTCTCAACAGACACTTGTTGATAGGAAGAAAGACTTTTTCGATGATTCACTTTCAACGCCACATGGACGACTATTTACCCGTACACCAGTTTAGTTGTTTTTTCTCAATCTGTGGTGTAAAACGACGCCACTGCTATCTGCTAATTTCTTTTATTAGACGATTGACGGATCTATGGCTAGCGCGAGTGTTGAGACAAGAAAAAAACAATGTGCCAAATGTAACGACGTGAAAACTAGTGGAGGATTGTTCACTTGTGATGGATGTCAGCAGATGTTTTGTGCACGACACGTCGGCGAACATCGACAAGAGCTTGGTACTGAGTTAGAAAATGCTATGCAGGAATACAATTGCATTCAAGAGCAATCCAATCAATTAACATTTGATCGATCCGTATTGGAAAAAATTGATGCATGGGAAAAAAGATCGCTAGACAAAATTAAACAAGCAGCTGAAAAGGTTCGTGGTGATTTTCATCGATGGTGTCGCGATAGTCACGACCGTATAAAAAACGAGTGCACAGAACTGGGTACAGCTCTTGCTTCTGCTCACAATCGAGATGATTTTTCCGAATCAGAGCTCGACAAATGGAAGAAAACATTGAATGATTTGAAAACAAAGTTGCAATCGATAACAAAAGTTAGTATTGTCGAAGATCGACAAATGCCAATCAATCTTATTAAAATGGATCATGTTACGTCTTTTGCAAATACCCGTATCCGACCTAATATACGAATGTCATCGAAGGCACACGTCCCAATTGTGAAACCAGAATTTCACCAAGTAGTATCCAATCAAACAGAAGAAGCAAACACCATTGCTGATACTATCGAATCATCAAACACTTCCACTCGTCATCCTCGAAATGTCGAAGCTGCGAACTGTAAGCAACAGTAGATAGTAATTTTCACGAAGATGAAAACTTATGAATATTTTTCGTATTTTGGATGCTTATTCTTGAAAAGAATACTTTCGATTGACAAGAACTCAGCATTTTGACTTGTATTCGAACAATAATGTACTATAATCGTATTTTGTTGTCAGAAACAAAGTATATCGAGATTCAAGGCGAATTCTTTTCTCTTGATTGCAAACGCATGCAGAACGATTAGTTGTCGTTTCGAGAAAAAATGAGAAAGAACACATATTCACACCCTCTTTTCTGCTTTGACAAAACAAAACTGATTAACAATCGTATAATATTTTTTTCTCTGCGTAAAATGCTGTTAAAGAGATTGTTTCAATCGGCAATGAAAACAGTCGACAACTATAGAAAAGAATCGTTCCCGATGTTGAAATTTAACGTAGAAAAAGCAAACTTTCAAATTAACTAAATGCTGTTTCTTTCTGTATGAACGAGAGAGGCCGTGATACATTGTATTTACAAACGAACTGGAATAAAGAAAAATTGTGCTTCAAGTTTCTTTTCCTCTCCTTTGTGCGAGCTTTAAAACAAAATCAACTCGCGCAATTCATCGTTACGACGTAAAACAACAACAAGAAAAATTCTTTCGCGTCCTTGCCATGTCATAATTGCGTTCTTTCTCTCCTATACCCTATATATATACGTGACTGCGTGTAGCATTTGATCTAAACTGATTTAAAATCGGTACAATGTCTTCTGAAGAAGTTCAATTAAACGAAGCTAGTGATGCAGTACATCAAGAATCGAATTACTCCGATGAATACGATCGAACACATGGAGCAACGGAAAGCCAGAGAGACCCTACGATGTTTCCCAATACAGATCAAGATAATGTTGTAGATATGTCCGCTGCAGATACGAATACGACTGTGCAGGAAATAACAAAATCTCTCGAAACTACAAACATATCTGACCATCATCCTCACCCAAAATCTCAAGAACATACTGATCATAAACATGGTAAGACCGTTCATCACAGTCCAACGCGCCGTAAATCCTCATTCACCAATCAAACTCATCACAATGCTCCCGATCATTCTGACACACAAGCAAAACCTGTTCACCATAGTCCGACCCGTCGAAAATCGATTACACATGATACACATGGTACAACTGCGAATCACAGTCCAACACGTCGAAAATCTATCACTCAAGATACGCATGGAAAGCCTGCGAATCATAGTCCGACACGCCGTAATTCTATTACAAATCAGACACATAAAGATGCTCCAGCTAATAATAATCCAACACGGCGAAAATCCATTACACATGATACACATGGTGCAACGGCGAATCACAGTCCAACACGTCGAAAATCTATCACTCAAGATACGCATGCAAAACCGGCGAATCATAGTCCGACACGTCGGAAGTCGATCACTCATGATACGCATGCTGTTCGTCGCAAATCGAACGCTCATGAACATGACAAAGATCAAGCGCATAGAAGCGAAAAAATCGGTAAGAATGAATCTATTGTGGATAGTAGTACTTCACATTTCTGTAGATAAAACGATAATAAACGAGTTTCTCTTTATTCTAGAACATGGGGATATAATTATTGCTAATGCTGACGCACCTACTGAAACTGCAACTAAATAATGAATCTATCTTCAATTGACGGATTTAGACGCGAAATTTTCCGATATACTTTTGCTATCATTTTTTGTACATATATATATTAGCTACATAGAAACAATAAATGTAACATACCTACTCAATTTAGAAAAGAATTTACGTACATGAATATCGAACAGAGACTATGATTAGATTAATCACGTTCGAGCCTAGGAGATGATGCACGCGTTATTGCATTCATCTGAATGGTAAAACAATGACGTTATTCAACACGTCACTAATTACCAGTATTAGGATTGATCACCGATACTCATCTGCTTTCTTATTTATTTTGATTTGAGTAAATAGACATGATGATCATTGATGAGAATGAATTACTTAAACTTTAGTTAAGATTCAATGTTGAAATTTACCGCTCGCATAACTCACAACACTGACGTCCGATGTATCGTCCAAAGTCATGACTTTCCACCATGCAGTATAAAGTACGATACGAAATGTACTATTACCTTTAGCAGAAAACGCCCATCGTTGACTGATATAATTCGTTTGAAGATATCCACGAGATGTTGATACATTATGACTAGCAAGAACAAGATTTGGATTACTCAGTAGTGAAAACCGATAACTTCCATCGCCGAGCCAAGTTATATTCCATCTTTTATTGCTATCACCACAGCTGCCACCATAAAGTTGAACATTGTTACTCATACCGGCACCGAGACATTTATCTGGTTGTAATTGAGGTGAAAGCCGGTAGACTCCATCAATAACAACACGAGTCATCAGTTCTTGTATTTCTAAATAGGCGGGTTTCGGCCGATACATCCAATCCAATGGTAAACCAGCACCTTTCTTATATTTATGATAATCGGGAAGCCAACTGTAACGATCTGTGAAACCCCATGTGAGAAACGCTTTGCATTCGGGATAGAAATGAATGGCGTAGTTCAAAACAGCTCGATAGAGAGCAGCTTGTTTGTAAAGATCTGACCGATCTATCAGATATCCACCATCAGTTGGAATCGATATATCCAATTATGTAACTGATATGTATAGTTGATTGTCAATAAACTGTTGAGCACTTTGATAATGTCCATCGCCAGGTGTAACTGATCTCGACGAATCGATATGCCATTGCATACCAACACCATGAACGGTAGCTCCTTGTGATCTTACCCACTTGATTAGATCGATAGTTCTCGTAGTCTTCAGTCCAGTGCTTTCGATGCCAAAGTCATTGTAGTAAAGTTTTGCATTCGGATCAGCTGCGCGCGCGGTTAAAAAAGCTATTTTAAGGTAATCTGGGCCAAGTTTTCTTAGCCAAAAGCTGTCGCGTAAGTTCAACGGGTTGGAAGTATCCGTAGAGTTGAGTGCTTCATTGACAACATCCCATACAAGTATTTTGCCGCGATAACGACTAACTAAAGTATGAATGTAATCAGTCAACAGTAATCTGGCTTTCTCTGATGTTATTGAAGACTCCTGATTTAAAGTATGTCCTCGTACAGCCATCAGATTCTGTTGAGCCCAGCCTGTAGAATTAGCTGTTGAACCCACAAGAAAATCAGTATTATTCCAATCGTATTTGCCGTCACCTAACCAGATACGCTTCAGTTTGAAATCATTCTCTGTGACGATTATTGTAGCATCTCTCTGAATTTTGCTAGCGTAATCGTTGAAATCAGCTTTTTCTCGTATGTAATCAACTACGACTGCAGTTCCAACTTGAATGCCGCGAAGTGCTGCAGAAGCTCGTAAACTAATTGGATTATGTCCCCAAATGGGTACACTAACCAGCAAACACACCCATACAAAAATCGTTTCTACTCGAATCATTGTGAAACACGATTTTATGTTTCTGAAAAGCATTACTCGACTTTATATTCAACTGGATTCATTGAAAGTTAACAGAAAATTACACGACAATTTTTATTTTTTATCGATTCAACCGAAAGAAAATGGTACCAGATGTAAAAATATCAATTATATCTCATAATTCATGAGTGCCCGAATGTCTTTGATAGCCCAGCAGAAACGCAACCGGATATTCAACCTTTGCTAGTTTCTAAAATTCACATGGTAGCACGAAAATAAAGAAAACAATCGTTGACAGCACAAAGGAAATAAAACATCCATCAGTCTTAGTTGATTTCATACTTTGCTCACATAACAAAGCGCTGTATATGACTGACAATTCTCGGAATGGAATCGTCGATAAGATTTTTTGACTATTAAAATGAATATCTAACTCGATGGTAGTTTCATGAATTCGAAGGATAGTCAACAACACCCCAGATTTTTTTCTTGTGCAGCTAATTGTTTGCCAATGTGTTTATGAGTCGAACGCTTTGCATAGTAGTTGTACCTCTTTTCACAATAACACGAACAACAATAAACACAAATCAATCGTTTTGTGCTATCATAGATATCGTCATAATGAAATATAGTTCATTCTTCTGTCGAAAAACGACACACGCATAGAAGACATATGCATTGATTGCAAGATTCATCTATGAAGATTTTGCTTGATATAGTTAGATATTTCAAACCTGACGTACTTTGTTCATCAATGACACATTCAAATCTTCATATGAATATGATACTCAACAGTCAACCTAAGCGAAAAATACTCACAAAATGCATCTGGAATCCGCCTTAAGCTTCTTTAATTCATTTACATTGCTAACTATTAACTTTGACTATAAAACAAAATTCCATCTTTATCAATTTCGGCACTTAAATTCACACAATATCCATTCTTTACATCTTTGTAGATTTTGCATCCAGTGGTGGACAATGATATCATTTGATAAACTGAATGCATTTGATAATCCTAGGTAACATCTGCTAGTGGAACATTTGCGCTTACTAAGCTACACTACAGAACTCATCGAATCTATCTTTACGAACACATATCGTTATTTAAAAACATGTTCGATCGAAAATGAGCAAGAATTTAATTTTTCAACATCAACGAATGCTTTTGTGGAAAGTCTTCGTCAACTTCGTGTTTGTGTTGAGGACGAACGTGTAATTCAAAGAATATTATTTACGTACCCGAAATTGAATTTGTTTCGCTTCAAATGTTATACATTTCTTTCAATTATGTCGCCAAATGTATGCTGTTCGATGATGAAATCTTTGTTAATCAAAAAGTCGTCTGTTGCTTTCGTTCACAATGGTCACTTTCCAAAACTTGTGAAATTCGACCTACCTGTTGCTCAGCGTCATGAACAAGATAAAAAGATTTTTTTCAGCATTGGCTTCTTCATCTGAAGAAGCTGAGTTCTAAGCTTTATTTCGGTACGAAATATTGTTACTATTATGCATATTTAAATCAGTTTCCGCCATGTAGATGACGTTGGCTACGGATCCGAGTTTTTCTTAGTACTATTCATCTGAACAGCTGTGCAACTTGTCCTTTGTTGTGCGTCAGATAGATCTCGATGCGCTCTATCGAACGGAATGATTACATTTTATAATAACCGCACACAATTGTCTACAGTCATCTAAACATGTGTTTTCTCCATGCGGGCAATTTCATAAAATTACATTTTTTGAAAATATTCGTTCCCTCACTCTATAACTTACGAAAAATCATATGTTTCGATACATCTCGACGTGCTCTATCGGTTGATGTATACCATTGTGTCGTGTGAACAATAATCCCAACGAAAATCGTGTAAAAACGTCAAAAATCATTATTTTAGCACACATTTCCTATGCATATTCATTTTGCAACGTGTGCCACATCTACAAACGATTTCATTCGACTTAGTGTAAAAACATGCATCAAATAGTATATAATCCAATGTACCTGTTGTTTTTCTCAGCGGCTATGATTCAAAAGAGATTATGAATATGAATAAAACATCTCCTCTTCTAGAGCGATAAAGAAAGCGTACTGAATAACATATGAGTATTAATATGTATGTGAAACTAAACTTGTCAATTAGAATGTCAATATACAATCGAAGTAAGATTTAACACTTATTATTTTAAATACCTTTATGATAAAATCCAGTATATTTTCGTACTATTTATTAATCATGATTAGCAAAAAATGTGACTGAACATAATAGATTTGTTTCAGATTTGATGAGAGTGTGACGTTCATATCGAATTTATCTTTAGATATTAGTTACAGGTAGAGTAAGTGATGTTGAAATGTGTATGAACGGCTTTCAAAAACTTCCTAGGCCCGTTGCCTAAAATCAAATCTATCTATTGAATGATACATTATCTGATGCGCTTTTTCATACTGAATCAAATGAAATTGGTTTCTGCTGTGGCACACATTGCAAAACGAATCTATTGGCGAAATACGTGCTGAAATGGTGATTTTCGACGTTTTTAGGTGATTTTTTATTGAAAGTATTATTTTTGAGAGTTAATGGCATAAACCATTCAATAGAGCACGTCGAGATGCACGGCGACATATAGCTTTTAGTGAGTTCTAGAGTGATATGGCAAATATTCTAGGGAAATATAATTTTTATGAAATTGTTCCTATAAAGAAAGAGCAAATTTCGGAGACCGTGAACAATTGTGTGACGTTGTTACAAAATGTAATTATCTTTTTGGATAGAGCTCGTCAAGATCTATCTGACACACAACAAAAGACAGGTGGCACACCTTTCTCAGGTGAATCGTATTTAGAAAAACTCAAATCTGTCACAAGCTTCATCTACATAAACCAAATGATTATTAGCAAATAATTGCATGAGTTTTCATAATCTTGATTTTCGAGAATAACGTGTTAAGTTTCATTAAGTTCTAAGAAGTTTTGAATCGTTTAACGATTGCACTTTTCACTTAATAATAATATTCATGAGAAAAAACAAAAACCAAGTGATAAAAGTCGTTCTCCTACAGCCATTGTTGACATCAATTGGTTGTTAATATATGACAAGTAGCGCTCATCCTTTGGATTCGCTGACCCTTTTCTGAAAGAATTGTCCCAGTGCTGGCCACATTCAAACACTTTGAAAGACAACTTAGGCGCTGCGGTTGCTAATAGTCCTCAACTGAACCATGGCACTATGTCACACACTTGAGTGAATAGAAGACAGAGATTGTTCTTTTCCAGGAACCGAACCGATTAGCCATTTGTCAGTGAGTAATTCTCGAGAACTAACTGTGTTGACTGAAAACTCCATCCCTCAATGACTAGTCGCTCCTCAACCTCCCTCCGGTCGACCACTCACGACCAGCCATTCACCTTTTCATCTGTTGTTCTATTTTCACATTACTCGCATGAAAACTTTACACATTAGCCTGTCTCTTTTAGCAAAAAATTGACTCTTTTCTCTGCTTTTAACAAAATGATGCCTTCTCCAATATTTTCATTGAGAAATATACATTTGCCAAATCCTTTTCAAAAATCGTTGAAGCCTGATAAGGCTATCCCAAGTGTATACTTTAAGATTAATCCGGAATTTAAACGCCAAGTCGTTCGTCGGCCTCCCTCCGGTCGGTCACTCACGGCTAGCCGTTGGCACATATACGATTAGTTTCCCATTTTCATACCGAATAGTTGACCCGCTCATAACTGATCAGTTTCTCACTCGAGATATTTAAACTTTACATAACAAGTAACACGGCCTAGTGGCCGCTAAACCCTCTACTGGAAGGATAGTATTAGAGCGCTACTATTTGTCCAAAGAGAGAAAAAAGTTATTTCAGTTGAACGATCTGATCATTTGATAATTTGTCAAAATGTTTTACTTGGACCAATTTCCCTTCCTGGAATCTTCTGAAATTATAACGCCTAGTCGTTTGTCGGCCTCTCTCCGGTCAACCACTCACCGCTAGCCGTTGGTACCTAATAGGTGCTTAAGGATATTTTCATATTAAAAAGTATCTCGTTCTTGCTGAGTCCGTCTTTAGCAAAGTTGCCTAAATTTTTCACAACTTCATGACCTACAGTATATCTTTTATTACCATTCTTAGTTGAATAAGCCGATGATCTACATAGTTTTTTCTTGAAGCTCGAAAAGATTTGATATATATACCTTAGAAAAATTATGGCCACTTTGCGACAGTCTTATAAATCTCACTTTTCAACTAATTTTCAAAAGAAACAACTAGTCGTTCGTCGGCCTCCCTTCGGTCGGCCATTCACGGCTAGCTGTTTCCATGCGTACTCACTTTACTATCTTAACTTCACTTAGACGAAGACGCGTTCCGAAAATGAGCACATTTCGGAAAATCAATTCATAATCTAAAACTAAGAAGCTTTACGTAGCTATATGATTCTCTGGAAAAGGTTTCAATCTTCTCTCCACCACGAGGAACCTTAAATGGCTGCCACCTATGTTCGTGTAGAGCAACGATTAATTTCTGTCCAAGAAATCTTAAAGCTCTATAAAAATCACAATGTTTGTTCTTAAAAATATTGTTCTGCAAATCGACGACTAGTCGCTCATCGGTCTCCCTCCCGTCGGCCACCCGTGGCTAGCCGTTACATGTACATTTTCACTCTTCCATTTAGTCTAGAGCCACTTTTGAAAGTACTCCATTCATTCTCTTCTATTCCCTCTTTAAAAGTCACCCTCTTTGTGCTACTGTGACTCTCGAAGACAACACCTGACAAGCGAAACATTATTTTGAATGACTAGCATCAGATGATATTTGTATAGTATAGCTGTTTATAAAAGTGTGTGATCTCAGTAATATGCTGATGACTATGGAGATCCAGCGATCGGACGTCAGTCAGCTATTACATTTTGTTCTGTATATTGCCGCTTCAAACATTATCGTCTAAAAAATTGATCCTTTGTCGCAAAAAATGGGTCAGAAAGTGTTCATGAAAAACCTAACACCGGATTCGAGATCCTCGACCTCGATTACTCTTCGGTGAACCCTTACTCGACAACAAAAAAAAATTCATTACTTTATTAGTAATTAGCTAATTGGAGTTTCGAGAAACTAACCTCGGATTCGAGATCCTCGACCCCGAAAACCTTTCATCAGTCATTTGCTAATCACCATGATTAAGTTTTCATTCATTTATTGAATGCTGCAATTTGATTGGATTATGCGAACAAGCAAACTTCTTGCATTTCAACGACCAGTTTCATGGCGCTATAACCCTTTCTTTCAGAAAAGGGAATAATGACGACGGTTCTTAAACGTCTTTATGTGACTTTCTAGGGTCCAATTGAGCGTAGTTCATTCTCAACAAAATGAAAAGAAATTGAAACAGATGCGGCTAAGAGATTGAGACAGAGTTAGTTTTGCTAAATTCGCTGTAGCATATAACGCGAATGAAAAAACTAATAGATGTCTTCAAAAATCATTATTAGAAGACCTCTTCTAATGGAGACGCAGGAGTGCATTACAGCCCTGTCGTACCGCATACCGCTGGTCTCTGGTTCTTAGCTGCTTTGGCACACCTCACAATTAGTCTACTATGAAGGGATAGCCATGCACCAAATTCAATTCACGCATATCGAACTTTAGAATTAGAATTCATTTGGGAAATGTCTCCTCTTATTCAAATATGGCCAAATGATTGTTTCTTTCTTCAATTGATTTATTATGAGAGAGAGAGAGAGAGTTATGTAATGAGCGAAAATAACAATGTTGAAGATGACATCTGCGAAAGGATTAATCCTGAAACATTTCTTAGCGGATATTGGTTACTTCGTTAAATATGGCTTAGACCTTTGTGTCGAACACATCATATATGGTGATTTTATGTTTATCATTGTTCTAAATAATTGATCAATCACTTTGAACTATGTTCTATTATCGATCATCTTCCAATATCTGACGGTCAGTTTGATTATATACAAGTAACGCTCGTCGAGGCAGACTCGCTTGACCCTCGACTGAACAGTCATATTGAATTACGCTCTCTGTTAACGAGATCATTAAAAATAATTTGAATGCATTGTTTTTGTCTGTGACTCATCATTCTATGTCGAAGTCACTTTCATACCAATTTCAAAGAATGTACTGATTTAAGCTACAGCTGAGAAGGTTTATTCACAAAACTTTCACAAATAAGTACATAACAGTAAAAACTTGCTTTACATATCGTCAAAGTAAAAAGTAATTGCTATGTATCTGACATCGCGTGCATANCGAGATCATTAAAAATAATTTGAATGCATTGTTTTTGTCTGTGACTCATCATTCTATGTCGAAGTCACTTTCATACCAATTTCAAAGAATGTACTGATTTAAGCTACAGCTGAGAAGGTTTATTCACAAAACTTTCACAAATAAGTACATAACAGTAAAAACTTGCTTTACATATCGTCAAAGTAAAAAGTAATTGCTATGTATCTGACATCGCGTGCATAGCATAGCCAACAGAGAAAAAGAAATCTAGTTCAAAGAATATCCGATTCAAACACATTCACGAATACATAAACTACAAGAGAGCCTATAAGAAAACGAATTATGTACAGTAAAATTACGCAGCAATAATGGGAATTATGCTGTGATGAAGAAAATTTATTCAAACCATTCTGAGAAACGGCTTTGGGTGTTTGTATATAGTTGATCAAGTCGTTCTATTTCGGCGATTTGAGACTTATTTGGTTTCATAAGTAAAACTTTGTAGTCAAATGGTCGTAAAATTGCTAGATCGACTAGACGTTTTACACGAGATAATGGTACGTATATTGCTGCGATGTCATCAGTTTCATTTGGCAACTTTAAGTCAACAACCACTTTATTCAAAGTTTGACCTTGACTTTTATGTGTTGTCATGCAATAAGCAGGCACAAGTGGTAATGCAGACCGTTTGATCGATAGAACTGCCTTTTGATTTGATTTTGGTTTCTTGTCTTTCGGAAGAATATCGGCAATATCGACACGAAATGTTTGTTCCACTAATGGGATTGGAATAAGTTTCGGTCCAAGATCTTGAAGTTTGCATTCGATTTTCGATTTGGTCATCTCGATCAAAGCATATATTGGTCGACGAATATATTTTGTATTGTTTGGGAAGATTTCAGATAAAGTTTCTGTTGATATCGATTCTTCATGGTATACTAGCTGTCGAAAGATTCCATTGATACCATTGATAAGACCAAGTTCAGTAGCAATATTTTGTGTCAAAATAACAGGCATGCCTGGAACAAAAGGTAGTAAGCCAGGTAAATGCTCTGTTTTGCTATCAGATAATTCTAATAATTTTTTAAGCAATATCGGGTCTTCAATTGGTTTGCCTTTACAAGTATCCTGAGCAACACAAACCATAGGTGGATGACCCATTTGTGTTGCATTATGAACTGCTGCTTTATTGTTTATTTGTGTACGAACTTCATTTCGGAACACAAGAATGGAAGCCTAAAAAGGAAAAAAAGAAACTTTATTCACATTTAAAAGAATGAATTTACTTTGTTCCAAGGAGAATCGTGTAGAGATTCGATTGATGGTTGTCCAACAACTCGTGTTTGCAAAAGCTCATAGTCATCGTAAGTGCACTGTCCATGGCGAAGACGATCAAGTAATTGAAGATATCGTAAATCTTCTGTTCGCATTTGTTGTGTAAGTTTCACCACACAATTGATTTGAAGAATCAGAGAACGTGCAACACGCTGTTGAACTTCCTTTTCAGATGGTATTTTCCCTGGTTTCTTTTTCGATGGTAATGAAAAGTCGGTATGTAATGGTGAGTCATAGACTGGTCGGTATTGTAAATAATCGCCAAAGAAGATAACGTTCACACCACCAAATGGAACCTGAGGATCGACATGTTTTGCAGAGCAAATAATTCGATTAAGTTTTCCCAATAAAGTTAAGCCAACCATACTCATCTCATCAATTAATAGATATTCAACAGGTCTCCATTCTTTTTCCAATTTGGAATCGCCTGGTTTAATTGTACGTGGCTTTCCTGAATTACGTTGTTCGCCTAAGAAGGAATGAATTGTCATGCCATCAATCTCAGCTGCTGCAATTCCAGTAGGTGCAAGTTTTCGCATCATGTGCATTCTTTTTGTCAAAAGAAAATATTTTGTCAGAGCTCGAATCAACTGTGATTTGCCTGTCCCGCCACATCCAGGCACACACATTATGAGCTGACCGTTGTTGTCACCTAGAATACGTCATTTAATGTAATCAATGATGACTTGTTTCGTGCAATGTATACCTGTGCGGCATCGACTGTCACCATCAAGATGCCTTGTAATTATCAAGAATGCAGCTCTCTGTTCTTTGTTCAGTGTAAATTCATCAACGATGCGACTTTGAGTTGAGAAATTGTTTTTAACGACGAGTACTGGAGGAATCGCTAAATATTTTTCGAAGCTGTTTTGATTTTGATATGGATTTACAACTGTTACAACAGCATCGGTTGCATCGTTAAAATCCAAAATACCATCGTCGCTGTTATCTTTGCCCGAAATTAAACTGCGTCTAATTCGTTCTTTTTCAATCTTCAGCTGATCTTGCCATTTCGAATTAAGTTTAATGAGATTAGTCGTTGCAGAAACAAAAGGTACAATTTGTCGGCCAAGACGCGTATTTGATATGTGTTGATCTTGTTCTAGAACAATTTTTTCTGAATAGTATAAGTCATAAAACAATTAGCACTTACGATTTCTATGATTGAAGCGTCCAACTTTTTCGACAGCTTCAACAGTTTCTCGAATATACACATTTTCTGTAGATTTTTTCGTGGCATTAATGGCAGCAGTTGTGAATTCATCCACGTTGCCTATCAATTGAATTAGATCATCGATATCATCTATCTCGTATTCATTATGGTCATCTTGATTGGATGGTAGAAGTACAGGATCAACTGAGTCATTGTCGACTTGTGCTTTAGCAATAATTTGAAGTAAGTGTTCATCACGATCCTTTTTACACTCATGTAAAAGCTGAATATTCTCTATAATCTTCCACGAACGAACAGAAATAAGCTCTTGTCGTGATTCCAAGGCCTCTTCCCATGTTTGATCGACATCACAAAGATCAGCCACATTGCGCCATGGTACAAAAAGTGTGAGAACTGCTCGACTGTATCGTTCTCGAGTTTCATCGCGATCTTTGCGAGGAATCTGTGGACCATAGAGAACAGGTACATGGACTTCGCTGTATTTCATCAGTATATGAGTTGTTGCTTGAGGATGCTCTTTTTGTAAAGAAAATCGTTCATTTGCTGGTCGACCCTTTTTGTTGTCTTGTCGTTTTTCTGTCGTAGAAGATTTCGATAAATATTTTAAATCGATTTCACTGATTTTCTTCTTATAAAATGTGCTGACGAAATCGTATAAACATGTGTTGAAAATATTGTCTGGGCGATGCTGATAATCAATGCGTGTATTAACGAGTATAAAGTTATTTTTGTCTTCAGTCGATTGAATTTGAAAGTTTTCTTCATTGTTTTCATCGTTGTTCGTTTCATCCTTATCATACATGTCTTCGTCATCAATTTCATCTACGCGTAACGAAAAAAAATTAATCATCATAAACAAACTATTTCATCAGTTCATCCATCGACAAGTAACTAGGTCTGACTAATTCGGTTTGATGCTAAAGATTTATCCACGAAAATATTAAACTTGAACTGATCTGATTTCATTAAACTATACAAGAGCAATGTTCACACTTCTTCCTTCATCATACCACTCTTTATGTGATGAGTCATCAGGCTATTTGGTTCCTTTTTCTTTGATTGTTCACGGATTGTTCATGTATTGAGCGCTATCCTTCCTTTTTCGTCGTTTCTGTTTCCTTTCGAACAAATACATTGGCTAATTAGTTTACACAGGTCAATCTGTCTGATGTTCAGCTTGTGCTAAATTATTTCTCTTTCTCTTTTCTTCTCTTCTTCATTGGATCGTCTTTTCTCCTTCTTTTCGCCTTTTTTCTCTATCTTCATCGTCTCCTCTTTTTCCCCTCTGTGTACAGACGAAAAAAGATGGCCGCTGTATGACAACCAATTAAAAATGGATGTATAGTAGAAAATATTTAGATTTACCGTGTGATGTTAGCCGCAGATTTTGTTTTTCACGCATTTCATTTAATTCCGCTTGTAAATATCGCTCAGTTTGGATTAGGTAGAGACCTTGAAATTTATGTGTTGTATAATGGTCATCCCAATTCATAAGATAAGAAGCAACTTGAACACCAGACAATTCTTGCTGTGATGCAAGTGCATTATAACAACGTAGGACGAGTTTGCGTGATTTTTCAATTGCATTGTCGCAATTTATTTGGTTGTTTGGATTTTGTAGTGATGTAATACTTTTTTGAACAAGAGAGAATGTATCATGAAAAGATAGACTCATCTTTGTCACATAATCGGTAATGTAATAAACTAACGCTTTAGCATCACTACCAGTCCAAATAAATTTAATGTCCATATTAGAACGACAAGCTGATATGATATATTCATTGAAATTGTTAATCCATGGATCTGATCGTCTCATTGAAATATGACCAGTTTCAGGATCGATTGTCGATACTGCTACCTGTTTTCGTGGCATATTTAAACGACAATCTTTCTTGTCACCTCGGCTCGCATTGTAATATTTGTAACATGTAGCAGTATGTCTGTGAGTATTGTCCGATTCAACAAGTTGAACGACATCAGCACGAAACCGTGGTAGGAAATTTGGTGATGAAGGATTTGGAGTAGGTAAGCAGGCAGGAAGTAATTTTAATCGATTCGATGGTGCATCCACATCTAAAATATATAAATACATATTTTACACTTATTGAATATCATCGCAACATACCGAATGTAGGTCGATCCTGTGTTGGTGTGTGTGCCAATGGACTTGATATTGGAGATCTATAGGGAATTGATGGTGATCCGAACGGAATCGATGGAGATTTGTAAGGAATCGACAGAGAAAATGGACGTGATAAATTAGCTGATTCGTTTGCGTTCTCTGTTAAACCTGTCAAATCAATGGTACGTAAACTAGTATAGATGTTGCTTTGAGATAACTTATTCGGTGTGTTCAATGGTTCCGACCCTGTAATAAAAAAATATGAATGGTCAAATAAAACAAAAACATTTTCTCATACCATTTGAAGATTCGATAGCTTGTATATCTTTGAATTCGTCTAAATCTTCTTTGATAATATCTTCTAAATATGCTATTAACTTGTTGCGAAAAGTAGCATCTTGAATTTTTTCTTTCATGTCAGCTGGCTTCAAATCATGATCAAGCCAAATGAGAAGATGTAGATGGAGTGAACCTCGACCTTGGTTTTCGACAGTGCCAAAATAAGCTTTTATTGGTCCGATAACACCACCCATGATCATAGTATCTAAGATATTGGTAATTAATGTATGAAAATATTTGGCGGTAGCAACTGGATGGGATGCTATAATTTCAGCTCTTCTATAGGTATCCATCAATTGTTCGTGTTGAATTTTGTCAAGATTAAGTGGTACACCAGCAAAATATAATGCTACTGGACTATGAATATCAGCTGGATTTATTGTAAGAAATATACTAGGAAGACCTTGGTTGAAAATAAGTGCATGGATTCGAGTGCGTAATGCTGTTCTTGAATATGCTGACCCCATAACTCGACCACCAACAGTTTTGATATGTTGTAATAGTTTATTCAATGCAGCACTATTTGATTCCGTAGTATATGTTCTTTTGGAATTATTATCAAGAGCTATTTCAATATCTTTACTTTTGATTGATTGAATTTCATTAGCAGATGTTTGAAAATATGGTCTTGTGGCTATTAACTGAGCGTGAAGACACGCATCACGTCTTTGCAATAAATTGAAGACGACAAATAGGAAGCTATGATTTGTTTCAAAACGACGATCATTATACGACAAAAGATAGCGTATATGTTCTCTGAATTTGATTTCAACTGGACGGGATTGATCTTCAGGTGCTCCTCGTCCATAGCAAAATAAAGTTGGATATAAACCAGTTAATAATCTTGGATTGAAATATTCGTTGGCTGGTTTCGATGAATGTGGAATTAAGTAAACATTGTCAGCACCTATTTCATTATCATTTCCAGTATGCTTTATCTTATGTAAAAGGTAATTATTGATCTCATCTGATGATACTGATGAGCCATTGACATCGAGAACGCCACTAAAATAGAGGAAGTATGTGAGTTAGTTGGGTTATTACATATGTTCTTACCTGTTACTAATAGGTATAACATTAGAAGTAGTATTTTCTTGTGGGGTCAACAATGGATCTGGGACATATCCAGTTCTTTCAGATTGTGATTCTTCATCACCTATCTTTTGTTCCAAGGTAGACATGATGCATTCTGGGACATCGTCTTCTGGTAACTGAGCGATGTTTTCGAGATTTATATGGACATTTTGGTAGAGCGCATTATTTTTTTTCAGCCATTGTAGCGCTTGAGTAATTTTCTTCTTCCGAACTGTTAGAACTCTTCGAAGATGAAGACGATCAGGCGGACGAGCTCCAATAAAGATGACTTTTAGCGTTTCACATAGATCGGCAAGTTTCAGTGGCAAGCTATTGACAATATTCGGTACATTCTGGAGGAAAGTAATACAATTTCCTTTCAATGCTGCTTGAGCTGTTGTAGCCGAATGAAAAGGTGATTGAAGTTTAATTATACAGCTATTGTGACGATAAAGTGAAATTAATTTTTCTTCTGGAATCGTCAATCCTTGTAATTCAGCAGGAATATCGCCTAACCACATGTTATTAGCAGGTGAAAATTTGGGTATATGCTCTTTAGAAAGAGAGGTATGGCATTTGTGGCAAAGAACACACATCTGTACTCGATTTGTCTTAAATAAGCCATTTTTGTATAAGAAAACATCATTGTCGTAATAAAAAGATGAAGAATCAAAGTTTGAGTGATCTAAAAAAAGCGATTTGAATAAATTTTTAATGAGTTTTTTTATACATACTTTTAATATGCGATGTCGCCTGTTGATGATTATCATCAGCTGTCAAAACAGAAATATTTTGGGTAGAACTTTTTGTTAATTTTTTGAATTCTTCAGAAACTTTGAGTAAATCGATATTAGGTATTTTTGAGACTGGTATTTTCTTCGCATCTTTCGCTGAAGTACGAATATTACAAACAGCACAAGTAGCTTCAGCCAATTTTGACATGGACATTTGTTCTAGAAATTGTTGTAAACGAGTGTCTTTCAGTTCACGAGGAATTGGTTCAGGCCAAAGTGAATGAGCAGCGATTTGTTCAGTGCCATCGTTTCCGTGCTTTTGTTTTTCCAGTCTCCTATTCGTTCTATTTAATTGACTTCGATTTTTCTGTTGTTCAAGTCGAATGCGACATTGCTCTTCAGTTTCATTTCTTCGACTGGATTGCACTCGTTTCCAATCTTTTTTAAGACGACTTTGACGTTGTTCTCCTGATTCACTTTTTCGATTGGACCGGCTTCGTTCTCTGTCTTTCTGAAGACGGCATTGCCGCTGTTCTTCTGTCTCATTCATTCGGCTGATTCGACTTCTCTCTCTTTTCTTTCGAAGTTGAAGTTGACGTCGTTCTTCTTTACCGTTCTGTTCCTTTTGTATTGAACTTGAAATATCTGATTGTGATTGGATGGTATCATTTCCATTATTTTCTTCGCTTCGTAGGCGTCTACTAGGAGAAGATTGAAATTCAGGTACTCTTATTTGAGTAACAACACAGTTCTTAACCGTTTTCTTTTCAGGAGTCTAAAGAGAGTTTCGACAATGTTCTTAATTGTATAGATAAACAGATAATTGGCTTACGACAATAATTGACGACGATTGATTGGCGTTATCATGCTCATTGATAATAAGTGGCGACAGAAGCGGAACCAAATGGTTTGGTCTCCATGTGCCATTGCGAGCTTCTCGAGAATCTTTTTCATTCAAAGCATTAGACCATAAAATTGCAATGTTACAGTTCCCAACAACAGGTGGAATAGGTCTAAAGACGTTATCCCACATTGCCATATAATGTTGAAAATCAATTTTTGGATAGACACTACGTATGTTACATTTCAGTACATTACATAGTGCAGCTATTGTGTATAATTCAGAATACATATAGTTTTTGCAAATATCTTTAATAGCAATATCGGTAGGTCCTAGATATTGTGAATATATGTTTTGATAATGATTTTCATTTGTTATAAGTTCAACAATTGTTCGCACTAAAAAAAATTTTCAAAATGAAATTCGTTTCATATAAAATAAAACAATTTATACCTCGTAATTCAGTAGTCGTCACCAGTGGATTGTTCATCAGAAGAACAACAGAATGGTATAAGCAGTTTCCATCCCCAGGGACACTAACAGGAAGAAGATGATGCATATCATCAGTCGCTTTTTTAAGATATTCGCTAGCAATCTCATCCACTACATGCTTTGTTTCATCAAAAACATAAGTAGGATAAAACTGAAACGGTCTTGTCATCAGATCCATCTAGAATATTTTTATCTTGTTTAGTTAATCAATTACTCAAATAAATTTACCTGTTTGATTTGTTGGACAACAGAGTTGATTTCATCATGGTACATGATACTTTCGGAACATCTTTCCAGACGCTGGAGTAGACGTTCAAATTTCAAACCACGGCTCATTTGATTACATTGTGAGCAACAATCATTTGCACAAAGCACGGTGCAGAAAATGCATTGTTTGTTCATATTTCGTTTTATATTATAATCTAGAAAATATTATAGTTTCAGAAAAAGTTCGATCGATTACATTTATATCGTTGAATTTGATTTCGGAATAGAAACTGAATCAAGTGTAAGATAAATTCTTTCCTTCTGTTCACAAGCTTAACTTAATGGTTCCCTATTTTTCAGAAAAGAAATTGGTCTTTCGATGAAACATTTTCGTTTCACCGTATAAAAACATAAAATCGGATATGACCTACTTTTTTTTCTTTGAAATGGTATGAATTGATATTCGTTGAAGAGGTTATGATTAAATGGCGCAGCTACAGTAGACGTTGTAGGAAATTTTGCCGTATGGATATGCCACTAATATTATCAGTAGCTAGTGAGCAAGTCGAATGAATGAATCGAGTAACCTCATGACTATTTATAGTCTGTGATGAAGAAGATTGTTATTTGTTTCTCTCTTGTCTAGACAATAGTTTTCATCAAGTTCTTTTAAGTGTGACGATAAGCACCTCATGATCAAAATCGATGTGTGTTTCTGATCTGTCAATGCTTAATCAAGCCTAGTCAATTTCTTTGTGATCTTCTACTTCTTAGACATAAGCCATTATCTACTCGCAGTGTANAGTAACCTCATGACTATTTATAGTCTGTGATGAAGAAGATTGTTATTTGTTTCTCTCTTGTCTAGACAATAGTTTTCATCAAGTTCTTTTAAGTGTGACGATAAGCACCTCATGATCAAAATCGATGTGTGTTTCTGATCTGTCAATGCTTAATCAAGCCTAGTCAATTTCTTTGTGATCTTCTACTTCTTAGACATAAGCCATTATCTACTCGCAGTGTACCCATGTCGATAGGTTCGCTATCAGTACGCGTACGGTACACCTCTTCGGTACGCGTACCGCTGTCACGCGGCGTTCGCATACCAAACGGACCGTACGCATTCCGAGAGCGTACCTCCAGCAGGACGTACGCGTACCGCGAAGTGCATTAATGCACTTTGGTAATTTTCTCGTTGGTCAATTTCTCAAAGTGAATCATATCAACGATCTAGACCTAGGCTTATCTCTGACTGAAAAGCTTTTTGATACTTTTTTCGAAATCTTTTTACATTTACTAATTTTATTTCTTAAAAATTGCGATCATATCACAAAAAAATGAACGGATAAAAAGATGACCAGATAAAAAAGAGAACCGATAGGAAAGGACATAAAAGTGTAACAAAGGAGTACAGAAAATTTACATGAAATACAAAGAAAAAGATAAATTACAAGATTACTTTACTTTGTGAAGTACTTCTCAACAAGCAAACTATTTTTTAATCAATCTACCAAAACATCGTTGCAATTTTTCTAAAAAAAAAAGAGAAAAAAATCGCTACATAGACCATCTGAAAAAATGAAAACTTTTTATCATCAAATTATTAAAATTTATGTAAAAATACTATTTAGGCTCGAAATAACGATAAAAACAGTTCTTTTCTCAAATCAAAATTTCGTTCAAACTGACGATTCTGCAGCTCTATATATACATATGTGTCACCATCATTCAATTACACACCTCCATATTGGGGAGTTCCCATTGGTACGCGTGCGGTACCTGAGTCACTGACGGTGCGCGTACGGTACGCATACCGCAGACGTACTGGACCGTACCAGTGCGACGTACGCGTACTTACAGCGAACCTATCGACATGGGTATGCGTTTATGTTGATACCTACTCATCACTTGTATTCATTGTTATCATCCATCAATCTCCTTCCTGTTCTCTTTCTCTCTTGATCTGGCGGTGGATGTGCTCATTGAAAGAAAGAGAACAGATACAGAAGAGAACATCGAAGTGAAAAATAGTTCATGATTACCGATATGTCTGTCGTTACAATACTGACAAACTCTGTTATTTCACGTGCTGTTTTCATTTTTCTTTTTATGACGAATATTCAGTTAGTCCATGTTTTAATCATCTGAAGCAATCGTTTTCCTTCAAAATCGAATACAGTCATTTTTTTCGAATAACGTATGTTATCGAAGTGCTGAATAAATATAGATGGCTCATGTAATGTCGATCAATTTGAAGTTATTTATTATAAGAACTGCATCAACAACGCTCAGAAAAATTGAAAGGTTTCCTCTATCTGTTTTGTTTCTTCTTCAAGAAGCATCAGAAACCAATCTTCAGCACCGTTCTGAATAGCTTTATCGAACAAATAATCACTTTTCAGAAACATATGAATAGATTTCATAAACTTTTTCGAAAAGATCTTTATCGACCCATTAATTTGTTGTTTAATCATCAACACCCAAAAAAGGTTACATCTAATCGAACTGAATCAAAGAAAAAGCATACGAAGCATAGCCGACAACATTAGCAACACATTAAAAGACCGATTATAGCATGCGAGACGGACGTCTATCATGACCTGATGAACGGAACACGAAAAAGTGAATGGATGGCAGAACAGAAAGAAAAAAAAGCACCAATAAGCGAAATGATGTGAGATCGAATGATTTTTTCGCACAGATAGGAATGCTCTTTTTATCCGAAAATCGTGAAATTATTCTGTTGCTAATTTCGGTGAAATAATCCTATATTTCAAGAAAAAAAATTCTTTAAAAAAGAAAAGTAAACGACCTCTAATAAAATACAAACAGCGGTTGCGTTCCATTATTCTGAAGTTTCCGTAGCATACAGATTTTTCTCGTCATGTAAAAGTATTATTTGCACAATATCGATTAAAACTTTCTTAATGTACCAGCGTCCTGGCGTCCTACTGCTGATTATAATCTATACATGAGTGTTTAGGACGCCAGGACGCTAGGACGCTGCTTCTATAGTAAGAAAGAAGATAATTAGCAGCAATAAATATCTTTCTAATGTAGCAGCGTCCTAGCGTCCTACTGCTGATTATAATCTATACATGAGTGTTTAGGACGCCAGGACGCTGCTTCTTTAGTAAGAAGATAATCAACAGCAGTGAATATTCTTTCGGAAGAGTGTTCTTCCGTTGATTGTCACTTACACATGACTCGCTGGGACAATAGCACGCCTTATAAAACAACGATTTTTTACTCCTTCTCAACTATAATTCTTTCCTACGTAGAATAGGCGCCATGGCGTCTTATTCATCATGTGTAACATATGATTAGAAGGCAAACGACAAGACGCAGCTTGAGTATGCAACAATATCATACTGAATTTATAGTAAAGTAACCAGCACAAGATAGTTTTCTAACATCAAACAAATGCGTAGGATTGACGAAAACCATTACTATCATCATCCTCCATTTCTGATTGGTCGATATTGTGACACTCAACGTCCGAATCGTTATGTGACACGATGTGATGATGAGACAATACACATTTGTGTTAAGTGATATTTAATCTGAAACCGTTGGCGCTAATGCAAACACACATATTGGGTTGGCATAGGGGTGACATTTTAACTTTACTTTCAAAATTAAAGTTAAGTTAAAGAATTTAAACTTTAAGCCCTTTATGAAGTAAAGTCAAACGTAAATTGCCATCCCTAGATTGGCAAGAAAGTTTTGTTGTTTTTCTACAAAATTTTATTGTATTTTCTTTTTTCAAACATACAACTAGTTTCAGACGCGTTTGAACCGTAGTATGGGAGCATCCGAGCGGCTCTGTTACACATCGTGTCATCAGCCGAGGATCGCCTAAAATGAGTTCTTTCAATATGCCTAAGTCAATTTCGGGTGTTCTTCCGGAGCGAGGTGAATCCTCCGTAATTGTCGAACTGATTGAACCAAGGCTGTGCCGTACGTGAAGAGATCATTGCTTGGCCCATCGTCTTACATATGTTGTTCGTTGCTTCTGTTGCTTTATGGCCCAGCAAGAATTCATGTAGTAAAAGTACTCGAACCTCTCTTCGAGAAATGTTCACTTCTGTTTCACGATCGGCATCCATATCAATAGCAGCTATATGGTTCGATAGCTAGTCACTCTACCTATATATCCCTCATATAGAAACTTGAAGAACATTCTCGAGCATTCTTTAAAATTTTTTTAAAAAAACCGAGAAAACGTCCTTGCCAGCCCAATACATACAGACTATTTTGTTTGTATGACTTTTCTCCCCGTTGAGGGGAAATGAAAACGCTAGCTCTCTCAGTGTGTTATACCCAATTCGACCGCACCTCTCCCACACACAGCTCTCAACCATCATCGTCTATATTAATCCTCGCAAACGATGTTTTATGCAGTTTTGAGCATTTTCGAAAAAATGTTTTTTTGACCTTTGACCCTTGACCCTGACACAGACAGACAGACAAACTATTTTTTTTCGCATGACCCTCCTTTCAGTCGAGGGAA